ATCTGGCCAGATATTCTCAGATCATCGCTCTGTCATTCCTGCTACACTACACACGGGCATCCACTGTTGCTTAATTATAACTGCACAACATTATATTACGATAATATTGCAATAAAAATTATTAAAGTGATGAACGAGATAATTAAAATCTTCATTATATGCAGAGTGGTCCATTCACATCACACTCCATTCAATCACAAAAATGTCTTGCCGTCAGTTAGTGTAAGACTGGATTGTTAACTTCTTGATGGAGGTTTGACCAACAGCTTGAGGAAAGAAGGTGCACGAAGAATCACAGTACACAAGGTCGGTCACCTTTGCATATAAAAATATGTTTGTTCAGTGATTTTGTTATCAATATTTTGTTTGTTCAATATTAGATATCATGTTAAGGATCAGCAAACCTAAATGGCAAACTCAAAAGTTTGTACATATATATATATTATCCTGGATCACAAATAATAAGGCGCCACGATAAGGTGCTGTACCAAATGCAAGTATTATTATATTTTAGTCCATTCAATCGTGGATACTCATACTGGCCACAAAGGGGAGCTCATGAGCTTCAAATTCCAATCTAGTTGCATTGAATTCCTGATGTTTTCCTTATACAAAAAAAGTAATCCTTACATTTGGTATAATGTCTTACATGTCAGGAGCACTTCACGCGATTTACTGCAAAGTGTAGTGACTGCGTGTTTTGGGGGCAAAACACAGCGGCCAGTTTGCACACAGCAATTGTTCCCTTAACAGCTTTGAAATGAACGACCAATTTCATCTGGGATACTGTTGACCAGAACACCGGGAGAAACTCCGGTCTCTATTCAGATCGTGCCATGGGATCTTTATCGTCCACCTGAACAGGCAGTTGGGGCCTCAGTTTAATGTCTCATCCAAAGCATGGCACCTGCAACAACATAACACTCCCCCCAGCACTGCATAGGAACGTCATCTTACATTGCCTTCTTGCCTTGCCTTTTGACTTGTGAAAATGTCGAGACCACTGTTGGAATTGGAACCCCGTGCCTGCTGGTTTCACATGAGGATAGTGCTGCTCAAACTTACCCTTTGTTTTACTTTGGAGAAATTACCTCACATGGTGAAAATCCCAAACAAACACATGGAAAATGAGCATCGGCTAAAACACACTTATCCAATTGAGTGGGTGGTTAATCTCTGCTAACTGGTGTCTTTGATTTAAGCGTCGTTAAACAGCCAGCGTGTGTTTTTATATAACATACAAAAAGGTCCCTTATACGTTTCTGACCAGTCCATTCAATGACCTAAGGCTTTATAGGGTGCAGTTTGTTGGACTCCAGCACCAATCGCTCTTAAATAACACTGATCAGATCAGAATGATGTGCCTGACAAAGTGTGGCACAAAGTAAACATTCAAGGTGAAGCTGGAATCCTGCACTGCTGAGGACCAGGACATAGAGCTGTAGGCATCTACAGCACAAGAAAGAGGCCTTTGGACCATCATGTTTGTACCGGCTTTCCCAAAGAGCTCTCTGTTTAGTCCTTGCTCCTTCCCCCCTCACCTCTACAATATCAGTGGTAGAAAAGTACTTTGGCCAGAGTCCAAATCTATCCTTCATGCAGAGCGGAGGTGTGGCCAGCCAGCTTTGTAATGATTCTCAATTCACAACACTGGTGTATTAAGTAACACTTTTATTCTCTATTTCCAATACTCCAACCATGAACCCACAAGTGTTCCTCCCAGATTTTTAAAAATATTTCCTGGTCTTCTTTCATTGGTTCCAGTAAATTGTCTATTTGCTCTTAAAGGGTTATTCCACAAGGTTCAGTGAGATCCATGTTTTATTTATAGTTTGATCCCTTTCTAGATTAATAATCCTTGCGCTTGATACAGGGCCTACCACTTCGTGAGGACGTTTGAAGTCTCCACAGGATTTACTATAAAGTGTAGTGAGTGTGTTTTGCAGGTGGAAATTCTGCTCATTGAAACTGAGTCTTTGTGTCCTGCACTGTAATCCCGAGATTTACCTGATCAGTATTTCCAATGAGCAGTGATCCGGAAAGAGTGAACGTCTGAGTGCGTTAAAATAATCCTCGGGAGCACGTTCTTAGTAAAGCAGATTCTTGGTTCTGACCTTGAAATCCCTTCACAGTCCTGCACCTCCCGACCTCTATAATCACCTCCATCCCCACTCTTCTGCTCAGACCCACTCTGTCCTATTTGTATTTATTTATTTTACAGAAACACAGTCACTACAGTGGCCAGCAATTATCTGTGGAGCGCTATGAGATAATAATAAAAAATGACATGTAATTCACATTATAGCATCAAAAACAATAATTATTTTTATTTTTTATTACTGTGTGTTCTTTGCTGCCTCCGTCCCACCATTAATACAATCATTATTGGAGAAGATTTAATATTTTTAATGCTATTAATGCTATCTCTCTTATCTAAGGATCCATGAAGCAGTGCCAGGGCTGACATAGACCACCCCTCCCCCGCCCTTTGAAATCACATCTCTCAGGGTCAAGGCATTGCCTCGAGTCTGCATGGCTCAGTTCCACTCTATTGCATCTACCCACAGAACACACAGTCACTACCCTGTGAAGCTCCTTGAGACGTCCTCCCATGAAAGGCACTGTACCAAATGTGAGGATTATTATCTAGTGGCTTTAAGCAACTCAGGCTCTGAGGAAGCTTAAGAGGAGTGGTAAAACCACTATACTGATTGCATTGCACAGACAGCTTTCTTGCACAGTGCTTTGTGCTGTTTTCAGTTTTCACTGCTGAATGAATGACTAAATGGGCCGTGGTACAAGGATTAGCATTATGTTTATCTGTAGAGTACGGCAAGGCTGATCCGGGCCCATCATTATCTGGCAAGCAACTTGTTTGTGTTTGTCAGGATTCCACTATAATAACTTCCTGTATTTACGAGATTAAACACTGAATGAACTCAGCCCTTCTAAGCATTGTACAACCATAATACTTCCTTGTGATTTGCTCCTTGCACCAATTCACTACAGAACCTCAGTGAGATACAACCAAATAAAGGTTGGATAATGCAGGTTATCTGAGCAGAAGAGTTCTGTACACATCAACTCCACTCCACCACCAAAACAACTGCCTTTAATATAGCGTCTTTTTCATGAAGTACATTTCAAATCGCTTACCATGCACACAGAGGAGAAAAATAAATGAGGCTGCATTTCCGATATTCCCTGCCTCAATCCCTCCACCACACCTCATCTTTATCTATCTCTAAATCCCACCTGAAAACTTACCTTTTCAATCATGACTACCTCCCCTTTTTTCTTTTTTGGAATCCAACCTTGCCACTGTACAGAGCTCCCAAACTCTATTATTCTATTTAGTGAAGGGCACTAAATAAATGCAATTTGTTGTTGAAAGATGTTGATCAAGGGCACCTTGTTTAGTGATTCCAGCCAGCCTATATTGGCAGTTTATGGAGAGTGAAAGCATCACACAGCAGCAAGTGCTCTTCTCCTAAGATAATTAAATGATACTCCTCACACTTGATATAGCTCTTTATTACATCACTTTGAATATCTCAAAGAGCTTCACGGGTTTTACTGTAAAGTGGAGTGACTGTATTTCTGGGCAAACAAGGCAGCCAATTTGCACATAGCAATGTCCCACAAACAGTTGTGAAGTGAATGATCAATTTTATCTGGAAGTTTGTTGGCCAGGATATCAGGAGAAACTGCCTTCTCTTTTTGAATAATGCCATGGGATCTTTATCCTTCCGCTGAACAGGCAGACAGGACCTCAGTTGAACATCACATCCGAAGGATAATAAAATCAAGATAAAGGTACACTCCTCAGGTATGTCTGTTGTTTCCCACTTGCCCAAAATGTTTCCTCTTTTATATCCACCATGCCAGGATTTTGTCATACACCAATAACCAGTCTAGAGAACTGGGAAGGTGAGATGCCTTTTTCTCATGCCTCTGGTATTTTCTCTGGTCATCTGCAATAAAGTTAGCACATTTTGTCAATGGCAGATATGGACATGGGACAGGCAAAGAGAAATAGCTTATGTTCTGTTGAGGAACATAGATTGAAAACCTTATTTGTGATTATAATATTAAATATTATAAATATTAATCTTTGCTTTTTAACGTCAATGTCTCAAAGTTCTTCACAGAGCTTTCTGTTGAGTGTAGCGATGGTATATTTGTAGGCTACCCAGCACCCAACTTTCACATAGCAATGTGCGCCAAACAACTTTTTGGCCAGGACATCTCTTCTCTTCCAGAAGAGTACCACGGGTGTTTAACATCCATCTGAACAGCAAAGACAGGACCTTAGTCACAGTCACACTTGACAGAAGCACTTGTGTGACATTTTAACATTATGGAAGCGATATCAAGCACAAGGATAATGATTATGTTTATGATTATTATGATAATGTTTATTATTGTTGTTATAACTTAATCATTTCACCCATAAAATATACAGTCAATTTACTTTACAGTATATTTCTGTGAAGCACTTTGAGATGTCTCGAAGATGTAAGGCGCCTAATGAAATGCATGTATTATTATATATTATAACTGGCCTGGGCATAGACCACCAATGCATTAATAGGCACCTTTAATGCTCCTGAATTTCAACCATTACATTTCAAGGAAACTTGTATCCTGGGCAAGTTGTCACTAAGTAACCCCAGATTTCAAAAAGAAAAGGGCATCGTTTGAAAGTCCAGGGTAATAAAGCTTTGCTGCAAAGATCGATCTCAGAAAGGTGAATCATAAATACTTTTGCTTTTTTCATGTGTGTCGCAAACCTGAAAAGTAAACTTTAGACAGAAACAATAAAGGGAACTGTTCAACACGTAAGCCTCTTGTGACTCTTAACAGAGACTTTAAGCTTCTCTGAAACCTAGTCAAGAATTGCTGAACGATTTTATTCACTCACTACGTGTCCGAGAGCAAGAGCTTGGCTAGAGGGTACCATTATCGGGCAATAATTAAACACCCTGGCACTGAGAAAACATGCTAAAGTACAGTTTCTGTAACCTTGGGGAGGAGGGAGTATGAACCAGTTAAAAGTGTCCAAATCCAATCCTTAATAGGTAAACCACCCCTGAAGTCCTTGTTTGCAAAACATAACAAGTGAAGGGAAGGGACAGATCAGACATTGCCTTTGGAGGCTGGAAGAATTTGCAGCCACTGTCTGCTTTTAGAGCTGAACAAAGCGGTGTTCCTCAGCTGTGGGTGTGGGCATGTGTGTATCAAGCATCTGAGTGCAGACATTGCTTGTTTGATTTTTTGGGGAGTTGCACAGGGGAAGCAAAAGAGGAAAAAAGTTCTAAATGGTGCAAGATTAACCAAATGGATGCTGGAAGAATTTGGAAGGGGCTGGAATACACCTGTAGAGTTCTTGGGATTTCAACTGCATCAGGTAAGCGACACATCAATCAAAGCTGCAACAACATCAAAATTACAATAAAATTATATTTATAGAGCGCCTGTCACATCGGGAGGACATCCCAAAGCACTGAATGGGCATGGTGGAGGGAGTGGGGGGGGGGGTACATTTATTTCAGATTCTCTATGAGAAAATGTTAGTCAATTTCATATACTGCACAGCCAGTTCCAATTAAGTCAATAAGGTGTTTGATTCCCTCTTGTGGAGCTCACACAGTGTAACCAGCTGTAAACATTAGCGCCGTATAGTGATGGGATGTGCTTGCAATAGAACAACATCTGAAATCAAGCTGTGTTTCATTCCGAGAGCAGTTTAGCTCTCTGCCCTTTCCTACAGACTGAATCATTTAATCACAGACTGTCTAATTTGGGATTACAGCCACCAGTGAAGTATATAACCTGCATAAAACAAATAGCTTTACAAAGACACAATACACAAAATGTGGTCTACCCAAGGTTTTGTATAAATTCAACATCATCGCCTCACTTTTATATTCTATCCCTCTGGATATAAAGCTGAAGACCCCATTACTTCATATTCTTGCTCAATACACTTCCCAAAACTTTGCATACAAAATGTACAGTCACTACACTATAGTAAAATCCTATGAAGCACTTTGAGACACTTCAAGAACATGGTAAGGCACTATTATTAAATCCAATCGTTATCATTATGTCGTTGAAAAGCTTCAAAGCCTTCACACGATTTTCCTGTAAAGTTTAGCGACTGTATATCTTGTAGGGAAGCCAGGCAGCATTATTGCGCACAGCAATGTCTCACAAACACTCATGAAGTAATCGACCAATATTTTTTAATGGGGAATTGTCTACCAGGACACTGGAAACTCCCTTTTTTCAAATACTGCCGTGGAATCCTTAACATTCACCTAATCAGTCACAGACTGGATCTCCTCCAAAGAATGGCACCTCCGACAATGCAGGACACTCCCAGCACTGTAATGTCAGCCTGGTATTATTATTGTATCAGCAATGTCCTTGAAAAAATAGCATTTGGTGATTTTCAGTGCTTTGCCCTGGAGCTATTGTTTCTGCACAGGAAAGTAGCCTTGGGTGGTGGATGTTGACATGTTTCAGAGTTATTAACTTGTGTAAAGAGCTGCTGAGGTTGTTGTGATTGCTTATCTGTGCCTCTCGCAGTCTGTGACTGGGAAGTGAGCCACGGATGTCTAGAGTAATTTTTTATAAAATGGTACCTGCCCTGCCTCTTTGCTGTTTCTGTAGTGATAGACATACTAACTTGCAATGTCTGCAATGCCAATCCTTTCTGCTCGCTGGCTCTCTCGCTCCTCAATAATTGTTCCTGTTTTTGTATTTCCTAAGATTACTTCCCTCTTCAGTCAGAACAAAACAATGCAGCCGGAATACATTTTTCTTATGAATCAACTTCTTACACACAACTCTTTTCCATTGATCGCACTCTGCCATCTAGCTGTGGATGAGAGAGCAGCCTTGCTTTCACTCTGCCGGTTTGGCACCACAAGGCGGCAGTTTGAGTCGCTTCCCCCTGGAGAAGAGGAACAGTGAGAGAGGTGGAATTCTGCCCGAATGTCTTATTTTGAACATGGTTTCAAAAGTGACAATCCCAGACAATTCCAAGGTCTGGTTGCAGCTGTGTCACGAGTTTTAGCAGGATTCTGTGGGATGTTTTGATGACGTGACAAAACACTAAGTCTAATGTGAGGATTATTATTACCTACTAAAGGCGATCTATGAGGAACCATGTTGCTTGCCAATAATAATAATAAACCTTACATTTGATATAGCGCCTTATCATGTCTTTAAGGTATGTCTTAAAGTCTCACAGCATATACTGTAAAGTTAATATTTTGAGGGTGAAACGCAATAGCCAAAGCATAAGGCAATGCCCCTCAAACGGTCTTTTTTGAAGGGATTATTACCCCCAGAAAATGATCCGCCAATCAACTAACAACTGGGTTCTAATTACTGCTAGGTAAACAGAGACATGTGGAGTAAGGAAACTAAGGTTTTGCCCTGTCCACTTGCGAGGTGAGTGCTGTAACCAGTAGGCTACAGGATTACAATGACGCTTCTCTGTGAATTGAATTGGTAGGAAACTGGATGAACATGGAACAAAATATCTTCTGATATCTTTCTTTCTCTCTCCCATTGATATTCAGTGCTGCTGGGAGTGGGGATTGACACGGGAGTGCGAGGGCAGTTCACCAAGTTAGCTGTGTACTTGCTGTAAGTACTCAATATCAACTTTATCTCGGTTCAAGTAGAATATCAAATGCAAGGAGTATTCTTATTATTTAAAAGACAGCAAAGATTAGGTGAATCAGTTACGCTTTCCTTTTGTCTTAAGATTTTCAGGCATACTTCTTATCCTTTTGGAAGGCTCGTATTTCGTAGATGTTTTTCTGGTCAAGCATCCCCTGTAAGTAGGACATCTTTCATACAGACCGAATGTTATTCCTGCTGCTACACTCGCACCCAGGACAAAGGGGACTGGGCTGCTCGTTGTCACGGCTCTTTGTTTCATTTCACAAATGCCAACGGCTGTCACTCAATATTTTAAATTAAAGCAATTTGCGAACCTTTACTCATAATAAGGGACCCAGGGATGAGGGACTTCAATTATATGGAGAGCCTAGGGAGGCTGCGATTGTTCTCCTTAAAGCAGAGAAGGTTAAGGAGAGATTTAATAGAGGTGTTCAAGATTATGAGGGATTTTGATAGAGTAAATAATGAGAGACTGTTTCCACTGGTGGATGGTTAGGTAAGTCCATTAGATGGAAAATCGCTTTTTTTACTTTGCCTTATCACACAATCAGAACCCACTGATTTAGGATTGTGTCGGGTACATTTAGGACAGACACTAGGCTTTTGGAGCTAGAATACTGAGAAGGATTGTTCATCTCTCTGCAGAACTGGATGTGGTAAAGCCGAGAACAAGCCGTGCAGACTCTGGAGAAAGACAGTGAGGCCCAATGGCTTACAGAAGTTTGTCCTATTCATATTTCTGTCCGTGGCTTGCTTTCTGCACCCAGTTCTTATTTGGCATGCGACCATACCCGGTGAGTCCAACACTTTTCGATCTATCTTCATTGTAAAATGTACGTTCACCTCCTCCTGCCATGGACTGTTTCCCAAACGAGTCAGTGGCTGGGTGGACATCAGCCAGTTCCCAGCCCTGAACAAATAATAATCCTTACAGTTCATACAGCACCTTATCATGTTGTTGAGACATCTCAAAGCGCTTCACAGTATATATTATAAAGTGGACTGACTGTGTACTTTGTGGATGAATTACACCTGTTACAGTATAATGCCAGGTTGTTCAGAGATAACTGCATCACCTGAACAGTGGTAATGATATGGAATGCAGAACCCAGAGAGATAGAAGTACATTGTGTCAGACAGTTATTTGGCAAAGAAACCCATTCAGGTGGACGGAGAAACAGAGCAGAGTAGAATGATGTATTTCACTTTAGGAAGTGGCCAGGTCAACCATGAGAGCCTCTTCTGGTTCTGTACATTTCTTGGGTTCCCAGTTTGCTCTCTGATTGCCAAACATTTGTCCTGACAATAATGTGGTTACTGACATCTAATCTTTGGCAACATGTAGCTGTTAACGACAGATACTGACAGTAACTCTCTGCTTGGTTTAGGCGCCATGTTGGTCGTAAGCGGACTGGCATACTTTGCTCTGAATCTGCGGAAACGGTTTCAAGAGGAGCTGCCTGATTGTGAGGCGAGTCGGCAGAGGCGCTCTGGGGTATACGTGACCGGCATAGTCTCATCCAGTAGTGGCAGGAAAGAAGAACAGATGTACAGCTTCCACTGCGACGTCAAGGAAAAAAAGACAGTGCTGGTGGCTTATCTGCGTAACATCTTAAAGCTCAGCAACCCCCACTGCTCGGCAGTGTCAGAGGGTCCGAAGGCTCATGTTGACGACTCATCAGATAGTGAGAAGCCAACAGTGAAGATGAAGCACATGCAGTTGGAGGAAAGCGTCATCAGATTATACCGGCAGAGACTGAGAGTCCAGAAATGGAACAGGAGGAAACGTCTGACAAAGCACCCATTATATTCAAGTGAGGTCTCACGCTCGACACTGGAACCTAGGCACAAAACGCTGCCATTGCCATTCAATCTCCACATGCAGCTCTTGATCGTATCAATGTATAATATATTTGCAGGGACCCAAATTGTGTTACCATTGAAGCGGCGAGATGTTTAGTGCACAGAATCAATAATACCTGTGCCCAGCTGTGCCGGGCATTAACAGGGAGGCCACACATTCAATGCCCCAAGGTGTTGGGTTCACAGGATCACAAGATCAGTTTGGATGAAGAAGGCCCTTTGGCTCATTTGATCTCATCCTCATAGAACACACATCCTGCTGTCCCTCCATCACAGCATCAAGTTGTTTTTTAAATGAGTCCCGGTATCCTGTCCCAGTTGTTAGTTATCCTCTGGGTAAAGAAAAACTTCCTGGTATCTGTCCTGAAATTGCTCTTTGCAACTCTAAACATTGTCCTTTTGGTCTACTGTCTTTGTGCATCCTAAAGAATTGCTATGGATTTACTTTTTCAATCCCATTTAAAATGTTATACACCTCTATGAGGTCCGCTCTGAATCGTCTTCTCTCAAGACTGAAGAGCTGTAGCTTGTCTCATTGTTGCTCATAGCTCATTCCTGGGGATCACTGACATTTGTCTCCTCTAGGGCCTAGGCAGTCCCCTTATGTTGCAGTGATCAGTATTCTATATATATGTCATTCTGTGTTCGGTCAAACACTGCATGTAAAAACAACAACAAATTATATTTAATATATAAACGCAATTTGTTGTTGTTAAACATTCTGAATTGATCTGCTCTGAGGAGAACCCTCCTCTCCACCGCACTCCACTCCTCTTCTCTCAGTGGAATCATTCCACACATCTGTTCTCTGTATGTGTATTAATTACATTGCTCTCTTCTCCCCTGAGAGGAGTTGGGCAAGTGAACGTTTAAAAACAAGGTTATTGTGCCCCATTCACACCCCTTCATACAACTCAGCGCAAACCTGCTGTTGGTTTATTGTTAAAAGGAATCGGGAGGTGTGACTGCCAGGTTGTTGATTCAAACCAGAATTGGGAGTGGAAGACTGTGAGATTGATAGATTGTCCACTCCACACCAGTCTTGACAGTGAACACAATTGATGGTGCTGGTCTATATGAGTCGGTGCAGGAATAACCAAATGCAAACCTGCCCAAAAGCCAAATAGCTGTTCACATATAGAAGAAAACAATAAAAAGTAATTCAAGCCAAAGCTAAAACAATGATTGGTTTTGGATGGGTTCCACTAAATGACGCAACTCTAAATAAACTGCAATTTAAAGTACTTTGTTCTTAATGTAGTCTGCGATCAGCCTATTTTGCCTATGAGCGCTGCCCAGGGCTGGACTCTAGGTGAAATATGCCTGGCTGTCTGCCAGCCATGTGTGATTTATTTGAGGAAAGATAAATTTAAATGGAATGTGTATTTTTTAAAATCTGTTTTTAATTGTACACCTCAGAACAAAATCCCCCAGAGAAATATAGTTCATTACTTATACAATTAACAAACCTCAGGAGAACACCAAAAAAAGTCACAGGGCCGTCTCAGTGGAGTGGGAGCGTCCTTTTTAATTGCCTGTCAATGGAGTCGTGTAGCTCAGTGGTTAGAGCACTTGCTTTGCAAGCGAGAGACCTGAGTTCACTTCCAGGCAGGGCGAAACCTTGGGCAAGTTTCCTTACGGCACACACCTAATAATAATCCCTCCAAAAACCAAAACAATAATAAATTGGTCATTTTCAATCTACGACTGTTTGTGGGACATTGCTGTACACAATTGGCTGCCGCGTTCGCCCACAAATATACAATCAATTCACTTCACAGTATATTCTGTGAAGCGCTTTGAGACGTCTAGAAGACGTGAAAAGCACTATATCAAAATGCAAGGATTATTATTATTATATTATTAATGGTGCTAGTCTTTCCATCTACGCACACCTTGTGTAAACAGATTGGTTATTGTCTCAGAAATCTTCCAAGCAAAATAGAAGTCTTCATTCTCACACTCTCCATTCTGAAACAGTTTCACAGAATGTGAGCGTTGCCCAATAATGAACTTCCTAACGGTAATTACTGCTGAGTCAGCAGTGCTGACTTCTTTTCTATCACTTTCTGTCCGTTTAACCCTTCCAGTTTCTGAAATACTGTATCAGGCTTTCCAGATCTGCAAGCGATAAGTAATTATTTCCTTCCATGTAATATATGCAAAGCATATTATCTGACTCACAGAATTCCACTGAAAACAATAAATAGATTGCAGACAGCTGGAGTTTCTGCTGAGAGATTCGTGTGACATATGTCAACTTACAGGAAGGAATTGCAATTCTTTATTAGGAAATCCATTAAAAGTAATGAAATTACCCTTTGCAACTCTGGGAATTATCATCAGGCCCTATTTCCATTGCTTTGCAGTACCAGAGAGATATATAGTGCCTTTCATGTCCTCCCAATGTGAAAGGTGCTGTTTAAATGTGATTGGTTATTGTAATTGTAATTATTATTGTTCTTGTTGTCCTGAGAAAAAATTACTCTAAATATGGAGGACTCCACACATTCAGCATTCACGGCCCCCCAATTTAAAACTTATTTACAATCTCAGAAAACTTTTGTGAACATATTTGCTTCCTATTCCACTTTGCATTGTATTTTTATTCACAGCATAGTCCTGGGATCCTCCGAGCTACTCTTTCATGTACTTAATGTATCAATGAATGGAGTCATGGCGATGAAAGATTCAATATCATGTCTCACTGATGTATTACAATGATCCTGATCTTGTATGTTACACCTCTGGCAATTGATTCTCAGTGTTCTGTTCTCGTATTAATCACTATCTCCCACTACAGATTCCTAAATACTTAACACTTAGAAATAGATATATTCTGCTACTACTCTCCTTTTCCTCAAATGTATCCCTTTCATCAAACACCTTGTATTTACAGTTCCTCCAGTTGAAGATTGATAATATTTGGGTAAAAGACGTGATGTTTCTTAACATTGTGTTAACACAAGGGACGCGCTATGAAACAGCCTAAAGTTTACCCTACAATTTCCTACAGAAGCTGGGGAATTTTGTTGATAATAAACACATTTCAGATTGACACGCTAGTTCGAACTACACACGGTTTTCGAAATCAATAGAAAGTGTTGCTTTGCTCTGAGCCACTTGCTGTATCCATTCACTTTTTTGTTGTAAATTTAACATGGAAAGAACGCTGGATCACACAGACCCCTGGAAATGATAAACAGCCACTTCCTATTGTTAACAGCCCGTCTTTACAATTCAATGCATAGGAAGGTGAATGAACAAGACAACAATTCAAGACTAGCTTTCAGAAATTACTGGGCTTTAAGACAGATGGTCAAGCGTTCAAGTTTGAATATCCTATATATGTAGCAGATGTGTAATGGCAGGACAATTTATACATGGTTGTGGATCAGGACCAGAACAAATTCCCTCAACATTGCACTGGAGCATTAGCCTGGACCATGAGCTTTAAGTCCTGATATGGGACTTGAACCTACAACCTTATGTCTGAGAGGTGAGAGGTGCTACTCATAACAATGCTGTGTGCAAATTGGCTGCTACATTTGTCTACAAAAAATATACGGTCACCACATTTTACCGAAAACTCTTTAAAACAAAGGGAAGTGCTCTGAGACACTATCCTGCGTGAAAGGCGCTTTATACATGTGAGTTGTTGTTTCTTTGAAAAGTGCTTTCGAAGACTTCCATGGTCTTGCTCTTCACTATCTCTGTGACCTGCTAACCCCTTACTGGCCTGTCCACTACCTCCGCTGGGCGGACTCTGGTCTGCTTCACGTCCCCCATCCTGCCCGCCCCATCATCCATGGTCAGCCCTTCAGCTTTTCTGTCCCCATCCTCTAGAACTCCATTTCACAGTCACTTTGCCTCGCCCCTGCCTTGCCTCCTTCAAGACCCATCTCGGGTCCCTCCTCTTCAACCACACCTTTGGCCACCCTCCCTTCCTGCCCTCCAGATCTCAACCGCCAGCTCGGGTGCACATCCTTGACTGTTCAGTGCTTTGGGACGTCCTCCCGATGAGAAAAGGCTATACAAATGTAATTTGTTGATGAGGCTGAGTGTTCCCATTACGAGCCCAGCTGAGATCAGCTAACCCAGCACAGAGTAACCAACCCAAGAACCCTCCTGGCCTGTGTGGCTCAGCTACTTGTTGAGAGAACTTCAAGACACTTTTCTGCTCATTTAATGTGAAACCCTATACTTCTCCTTTGGAAGAATGCATTTTTTTTTAAACTAAAGATGACCGCAGAATATTTATTTGATACATACACTTTTGACTATGAGGATGAGTTAGATCAGCTATTCATTGAGCCCTACTCAAACGCACTTCCCATTTTGCTTATCGCTGTAAAACTAAGCCACTGCCTGAATTGAATTTTCTTCCCACGGACTCTATATTGTGGTTTATTCATATAAAATCACATATTTTATGATGTTCTGTGACATGCCAATTTATATCACCAACAAAATACACAGTTATTCCACTTTATTGTCAAACTCCTTGAAGCATTTTGAGACGTCCTTACTTCTGGAGAGGAAGGACTTCTGGAAAGGCAGTGAAGTGGATCAGAAGGGCACAATTACTGTGGCGTGTTGCTAGGCTCTGAGGAGTCTTGGAGCCATTGTATAAAGAATGAGTCACAACGGGATCAGTAATACAGAATGGAATTAGCTGGAAACGTGTTTTTTTTAATGGGAGACACAGAACATGGAGAATTTAACACATCAATTTTTTTTTAAATTCATTAAAATATCCCTGGACTGTGATAATAATAATCTTTGCATTTGATAAAAGCGCCTTCTCATATTGTTGAGATGTCTCAAATCTCTTCAAAGGATATACTGTAGAGTGGGATTGACTGTGTATTTTGTTGGGGGAACACGGCAGCCAATTAATCGCGCGCAGTAGTGTCCCGCAAACGGTCGTGGATTAAGTGACCGCGTTTTTTTTCCAGAGGGATTATTATCCCTGGCAAGCGACCTGCCAATCAACTAACAACTGAGTTCCTGCTTACTAATGGGTGACAAAACCACCAGGAGGTAACACGTACTAATCCCGTGGTGAGCTGAGCATCTGGATGCTCCAGCCTTGCTCTGTGATGTACAACGTCTTAAGATCCTACCGCTTGCGGGTACATTACAAGTGACATATTTAATGCAGCAGCAGCAGCAAAAAAAAATGATTATCCTGTGGAGCTAAAACAAAAAGGACCAACAGATGAAATGCTTTGCAATTCAGGACAGCTGAGGTTTTGGCCAATGTCCATCGCCACGATGACAGAAAGCAACAGAAAGAGAACCCGGAGCACCACAGACACAGTCACACGGAAATAACAACTCGTGTAGTGGCATTGATCCAAACTGACCAGTCTCCCCCCACACACCAGACACTTTTAACAATGGGTTTGCAGCGATTATTTTGGCAGCTTTAGATCACATCCCCCACCCCCCCCCCACACCCCCCCACCCCCACCCCCGCGCTGACAACTGAGCCCACTTCCCAGGAGAGAGGAGGAGGAGGAGGAAGGTGGTCGTGGGGGGGGGGGGGTCTGAGGACCAGCTGTTGCGGGCATTCAGGAGCTTGCGGACCGGATTCAGGGGAGGAGGGTGGGGGTGGGGGGGGAGTGCAAAGTAAAACAACAACAACAACAACAAGATTCCATTTATAGAGCGCCTTTCACGTCGGGAGGACGTCCCGAGGCGCTGGACAGTTGGGTGGGGGGGGGGGGGAAGGTTTGGCCCGAGTGCCAGACAGACACACACAGACAGACAGACACACACAGACACACAGACACACACACAGACACACAGACACAGACACACAGCGCCGAGTCCCGAAGCCGCCGCCAAGAAAGAAAAGTTACAGCGCGTTCCACTGAGACCGCTCCACCTAACCTGTCCCGACAACCTCCCGCCTTTCCTGACTGCTGATTGGTCAGCTCGGTCGGCCCCGTGCGGGGGGGAGGGGGGTGCGTACGTGTGTGTGTGTGGCTGGTGGGCGCGTCAATCAAACCAAGGGGGCGGGGAGGGGGCAGGCAGCACGTTTGTCTGACTCGTTGCCCCGCCCCCTGCCAGCCCCGCCCCCCTGCCCTCAGCCCCGCCCCCCACAACCCTCAGCCCCGCCCCCACAACCCCCGCCCCGCCCCCACAACCCCCCAGCCCCGCCCCCCCCACAGCGGTCGGGAACACTTTCCGAAGGAGACCGCACCGCTGCGGGGATCAGATGCTCGGCTTCTCCTTATCCGCACGTGAGCTGAGATGGTAAGCGACGAATGAGCTAAAAAAAATTTTGAATGGCAGTTGGATGGAGCACTGGAAAGGCACAAAAGTTTGCAGTGCATCCATCCATCCATCGTCCCCCCCACTCCCCCCCTCCTCCCCTCCCCCCCTCCCCCACTCTTGCGAAGTGCAAGCGGATAGTGGTGATAGTGCGAGGAGTGTGATGCGCAATTCTTTCGCCATCCAACGGGTTGCCCAAGTTTTGCTGCAGGAACCTTTTCTTTGAGGTCTTCAGACTTGTTTGGTTTGTTTGTTTCGCCCACAAATATACGGTCCATTCACTTTACAGTCTGTTCTGCGAAGCGCTTTGAGACGTCGAGAAGACGTAAAAAAAGGCGCTATATCAAAATGCAAGGATTATTATTATTATTATTGTTATTCCTGTGAAATTCACTGTCAGCTGGTACCGTTTTTTCTTTCCATTGTCCGGGCTTTGAATGAATGAATGAATGAATGCATGGGGCGATTTATTTCAATGCATTGTGTGTGTGTGTACCAAAAAAAATCTCATTCATTGGAAATAAGAATGGTGCAACTGGATCTCACCCTTTTGCCCTGTGGTGCATTGATTTGAGCAGCTTGTGAAGCTCATCATTTCGATTTGGGGGGTTTTCTTCAGTAATTTAAGGAGCGTCTTTTTTTAAATCTCTTTCCGGAGGTTGAAGGAAAGGGGAGGGGGGGGGGAGCGAACCAAGCTGAGCCTCAGCTGTGTGAAATGTCTTGTTTGCTAAAGCTTCCCATCCTGATGCCAGGAAGCAGGTGTGGGAGCAGTTTTCCCAGAGGTCACACAGCCTGCATCTCGTTTAATTAACAGCACACAAAAAAAATTGAATCGCTGTGTACACGTAAGACTGTTCTGGCGATGCAGAAGAGCCCTATGCACCGGGTGACCATATTTTGTAAACCAAATCTTATCATTATTATGGTTATTATTACTATGTCAGTGCTGTAGTGGAAAAGTTTGTTGGATTAATGGCTGTGTTTCTTGGATGAGTGTATCTGTTTCGGAATTTTATTGTCCTTGCTCAGTTTGTTGTTGAACTCAAGACAGAGTAAATTTGGCCCCAGGGACACTATACCTCATCCAGGGACCGTCTCCAGAAATTGGGTATGTATGGTCACCCTGCTATACACAGCGATTCCTTTGATTTACTGCGTTAACATTTTTAAGAGACTCGTGCAATGTGCAGGAAAGATTTTTCTTGTTTGCATATTAGGTATAAGTCTATACCTATTAATATTATATCATATCTAGGTGTTTTATCCAAAGCAAGACTGAATTTAACAGGGCACATTTTCATGAAAACAAAAATGTGCCAATTTTTATTTGGTCTATTAGGGAGAGAGAAAATAAATCAGGCATCATTTCACGATGCATTTATATTGCCTTATATTGCTGTGCTGTGCTATTATCAGCAGTGCTCCAGAGTACTGCAGAACCGCCTGGCTCAGGAACCGGACTACAGAGACACCCCAGAAGGTTGACTCCATTACTGATACTCCATTGCCAGTTCAGCTCCATGGACACCCTGCTTTCTCTCTCTCTTCCCCCACACCAGAAGGATACTGACTAGCTGGCCATTTGACTTCCAACAAGTCCAGGTTTGGACTCTCACTCGGTGGATAGCAGGTACCAGGAACTCCCCGTGAGCTTCCTGGTGACCTGCACAGCTCAGTTATACCACATTACCATTGAATCAGTGCAGATTGTGGTTTGACACCGGTTCCAGGTTATAGAATCAATCTTGATTTTGTTTCGAATTCTGTTCTTGAAGTGGTTACTTAGGATTCAAATTGATGCATACATGTGTAATATAACTGTGATCTGAATGCAGATTCTTGCTTTTCTCTCTCTAAGTTGGTCTGACGCATGCAGACACTGATCATCCAGCTTAAGAGTCTACAAACAACACCAGGGAGTTCCACACATATATGGTTTCTGTTTTTTCTAGCTTGAAGAGACTTAATTACTCTTACAGCAGTGTTGTGAATTTCATCATTGCAACAAAATACACAGAGCAGATCTTTCCGCCTGAACAATGCTACTGAATTTAGAGACGCTCTTTGATTGTGTTCTTTGTCGTGCTTTGTGGCAGTACTATCAATTACATCTGATTATAAATGTTTTACAAGAGAAAATCTCATACAAAGTATTGTCTTGTCACCCTGACGGTCACTCTAAGCAGGGTGCTCGTGTTACAGTGTTGTACTTTGATCTTATTATCCCTGAAGTCTGGTTCTGCACAACGCAGCGTGAACTCAATCTATAGTTCAGTGCTTCCTTTATTGGTCAGTCATTCTATAGGAGTATTTACCAGATAAAAGAACCTGTAAAAGTGTATTTTCCCCAATCCTATGAAGTACTTTGAGAACGTGATAAGGTGCGATACCAAATGCAAAGAGGATTATTATTAGGATTATAACTTTGAAGTGAAGGTGCAGGCAGAGCTCCCAGGGCTGATTACTGTGTGTGAAATGAATCTTGGCCTTATTGACAACTTCAAGCTAAATCTGGTTCAAGATAGTGCTGAATCCATTAATCTCATATAACTTTACTGTGCAATGAAGATAAAGTTACCTCACAGTCTGCAACAAGGCAGACTGTAAGTGGCCTTCAGGTCAAAGATTGCACAACTGGAACTGAAAGCCCAGAGAAGTTCTATATATAAACAATAACAGTTGTTACTATGAAGTGGAGTTTTGTATACAGCTATAAATATTTAAATAAACTATTGCTCTTGTTATCTTTTTATCCTGCCTCTCTTTTTCTTGATTGTTGCATTTAGTAATGTTACTTATTACCTGTTTACTATATTTGAAGCTCTTTAAGAGAAATGAAAAAATAACCGGAGAGGAGACAAGGAGAATTTTTTTGTGTAGAGAGCTGTTACGATCTGGAAAGCACTGCCTGGAAGACTGGTGGAAGCAGATTCGATAGTAGCTTTCAAAAGGGAATTGGATAGGTAGTGAAAAGGAAGGAAATGCAGGGCTATGGGGTAAGACTGGGGGAGTGGGATGATTTGGATAACTCTGACTGTAATAGGCATGATTATACCTTCTTACATGTTCCTATATGTGATTTCACCACCCCTTGATTCTTTCTAACCCGGAACCAAGTTAGTCACTCCCAGTCAAACGCTTTCAATGAAAAAAAATACTGGTAGCAACTTGACTTTTTTGACTTTTATTAAAACAATTTTCTTTTCATGTAACACGTGCAATTTGTACTTTTTTCTTTGTTTTCTCACAATAATATATATATTTTGAAAAAATTGAACGTAATGCACTCCTAAACCCTTTTGAAGGTCATCGAGACGTGTTTGACACCTCCCCCCCACCAAGTAAATATAAGTGCAATTTGTTGTCATCGTTGAAAGACTGGTGAGGCAGAGCCTTTTAACCATGAACTTTCATGAACCGGGATGTGTGTCGCATGTCTGCCCTTCTTCTCTTTCCTCGGCACAGAGGGAAAGAAAGTCAGAAGGAAAAGCATCCCTGGCACATTGCCCAACATTGCTCTAAGCATCACTGGCAACAGGTTGAGAGCCACTCACATCCTCGCTATCTCTTGGTGCCACAATGTATCTGGTGAAATATCCCCCGATAGAGGGAGAGCACATTGGTGTATGGTAAAACGCCTGTGTTATCAACTGTTTGTGCACAGTTGTTTCCTATGTACAAAATCCCTAATCTGCACATAGTGGTAGACATTTCTAACCATATTGCTCCAGTATGAATCAATGCAATCTAAATGTTAGGCTCAGCTACTGTCAAGCACTCTGAGACACATTCCTGCGTGAGGGGTGCTATATAAATGCAAGTTGTTGTTGTAACAAAGTTTCTTTGACATTGCAGTGGTCCCACAGACAGTTGTTAGTATCTCTACATACAGTACTGCTTTAACATATTTCATATATATAATAAGTACAACCATAAATATATATTATCTGCTGTGCGCAATTGGCTGCTGCGTTTCGCCCACAAAATATACATTCAATTCACTTAAAACATATTCAGTGAAGCACCACCTCGAGACATCTCGAATGATCAGGCACTACATCAAATGCAAGGATTATTATTAGTAGTAGTATTATTATTACACTCCATCTTGGATGCCATGCCAAGAGTGTCAAATGCCTGAGGTGATAGAAACTATAATAAACATATTGTATATGTATTTTGCCCAACATCAGAGCCAAACGTTTATCCCAGCGTGAAGTTCCACATTTTACAAAGAGCACAGGGCACCCAGCTGTGTATGGCAGGAGTAACGTTCTGTAAAGCACATATAAAGTTTGTGTTCTAGACGTTATCGGATCGTCAGTGTTGTCCACCAGTTGGGCTCAATGTTGTTCGGGTGTGGCCTGTGACCTCCTAGAGCTTTTGCGCCCCTTCCTGTTCCCTCTGCGGCGTCTCTTCATTCTTCTAATGCACTCATTCTTTTTGCTTGAGTCGTTCTGGATTCTGCAAAAAAAAACATGTCACCCAGTTAGCTTCGGGTTGTGTGATTCTGTGCCTGAAACGAGCAAAGGCCAAATGATATGTCAAGTCAACAACTTTCAGCAGCCATCACCACATCCCAATCCCAATCTCAGATAAAAATGTGCACAAACTCCTCAAATCTCAAAGGTAGATTCCCAGGAAAATCTCCAGAATATTTCTTAATCACTGTTCAATCCTGATCTCTTCTTTCCAGTGTCCTGACCAACAATCCCCCAGATAAAACTGAACATTCACTTCATGGCTCATACTGTTTATGTACACAAAAGTATTGGGAGCTCAAATCCAGTTTCTGTGCAATTTTTCCCACTGTCCACTATGTGCACTACTAGTCAAACCTTACTGGGCGTCAATTTTTCTCTCCCTCTCCCATTTGTGCTCAGGAAGGATTTGTTAAAAAGCCAACTCTCCCCCCCCCCCCCCCCCCCCCCCCCCCCCCCCCCCACCCTCTGGAACCTCCTCCCTCAACTGGACATTGATTAACTTTAAGAGTCACCCCCATCTGCCTATTTTGACACTGACCTTTTAAAGCACCTTTGCAGCCTCTTGCCCTGACGTCCTTTGGGATTAAGGCAGGATTTCATCTCTTTGTCTCTCACCTGCCATGTTAATCTGTAAATGGAAAATGAGGTTGTAACTTGCTGTTCATATGGAGTCATGTACAATTTGTGTACCAATGTGTTTGTTACAAGAGAGATGCCTGTGGAACATGTGAGGCAGAACTAGAATCCCTGAATAGAATAATAATAATCCGTGCAATTAATATAGCGCCTTATCATGTTGTCAAGACATCTCAAAGTGCTTCACAGAATATACTGTAAAGTGGTTTTGACTCTGTGTTTTGTGGACGAAATTGACAATCCAATTCAGTGCTGCAGGGAGCGCTGCATTGTTGGAGGTGCCATTCATTGGATAAGATGTTAAACCGCGGTCCCATCTACCTGTGTTAATGGGCATTAACGATTCTGTGGCACTGTTTGAAACAAGAATAATTCCCCTGGTGTTCTGGCCAATAATTCCCCAAATAAAATTAAATTGGTAATTTACTTTGTGGCTTTTGTGGAACATTGCTGTTTCCAAATTGGCTGCCACATTTGTCCTACAAAAATACACAGTCACTAGACTTGTTTTAGAATCCTGCACCAGGCATTTCTCTCCTGGGTCTGAGAAGCTCTATGCTGCTGAGGCTGGCAGTTCCCAGTGCAAAGTAATGCTGTACCAAGAGGTTGCGGAATCCAGATTCGATTCCCAAGTGGGGCAAAACCTAAGGCAAGTTCCACACACCTCTGTTTACCTAGCAGTAAGTAGGAACCCAGTTATTACTCGATTGGCAGATTGTTTTCTGGGAGTAATAATCCCTCAAAAAAAATTGTGTCATTCAATCCACGACTGGCTGTGGGACGCTGCTGTGCGCAATTGGCTGCTGCGTTTTGCCCACAAATTATTATTATTATTATTAATCCACTTTACAATATATTCTGTGAAGCGCTTTGAGACATCTCAATGACGTGATAAGGTGCTATATCAAATGCAAGGATTATTATTACTATTATTATTAAGAACAGAGGGAAGACTGTGGCAGTGTTATGCCCGGGGACATAATGCGGCTCAATTTCAGTTTCGATTCTTCCCACTGGAAAGTTCCAGGTTATCAGCACCTTCAGTAAAAGGGAAAGTACAAACTCTCACTGGAAAGACTGGTTTCCACCCCTTATGCATTTGTCTTGGCTTGCCTTACCGTTCCCCTGATCTCACCGCACAGTGTTGTGTACAGAGTCAGTGCTAGGCAATACTAATATTTATTGGAACTCTTGTGTAAACTTTGTCTTCTGGCCTCTGCAAAGCCATATATAACAGGGAGAAAGGCCTGCTGCGAGCAGGACATACCGGATATGAACGAGGCAGTGACTGGGCAAACGCTATCAACTTATACCTTAGTGTTCAGTGATAAGAGCCCATATAGTTTTGTGGCAAGAAGCTTAAAATTCCACCTGGTTCTAGCTCATAAGACCCTTTTTGGCTTAAATATCACCCCAAAATTGTGAGAAATTCTCAAATTTAGTCTTAATTTGGAATCTGGTAAAGGGCAGCCTTAAATTTTGTGCCTGATACAGTGAGGTACATAAAGTGAGACCCTGATAACCTCACGTCCCTGACTCACCCTTGACATTTGGGGCACAGAGTGGGGTCAGGGAGGGGCTGGTTGTATCAATCAGCGACAGGTCAGTTTTACCTAAAACAACAGTCTCAACAGATCGACAATGATTCCCTATGAACTGCAAAGCATTTTGAAATGCATCAATGTGACAAGGTGCTACAAAAATGCTTCCCACTACAAAAAAGTTATTTCTTACTTACTGATGGCTTCTAATCTTTTAATCTCTATAGCAATGTGTTCATTTGATCACAAAAAAATTGCTTGTATTAGAAATTCTATTAGAGTCGAATCCCAGAATTGATTCCTTGGGACAGATTCCTTTTTAAACAACAGGCTTTAAGTCGGGAATCCTATAAAGTTCACACTCCCCTGTTTAATGAGGTCCTTTGGGATTCCACGTGATGGATGCCTGAAAACTGCAGTACTTACATGATTTCGGTGTTCTTGCAATGGGACCCTCTTGGTATTATTTCAAAGTTCTTGATGTATTGGGGAGGCACGGTATCAATTAATTTCAAGCAAAAGCATCTCAGTGGATTTAGGTTAGCTTTGACTGAAAGGGAAAAACAGTGAAATCAGTTATCTGTGCAACACAGCCTAGCACCCATTCCCCATCTACTGACAGGCTTCAGTAGTCACAAAACAAATAAAGCTTTGACAAGCACTCACCCTCCGAGGATTGTGACAGCAGGTATAATACTGCTGTTAGCAGGCTTGCCACTCGAAGCACGCAACTCATCTTGTTTTGGGACGGCTGGTGGGACAGGATCTAAAAGATAAAGCATTATGAAATTAAATCAAACTGGGTTTAAAGCTAGAAGTGGAAAATCATTTCTTCTCTTGTTATTGAAAGGCAAAAGGAGGTTAGTTGAATGTGTCGCATGAAACGTATGGCATTGATTAGTGGCTGGCAATTCAGCGCTGACGCTGGATGTTAAGACAAATGCTTTTTGGACTGACAGGATTGTTGCCTGTTCTGCATTGATTGTGGCACCACATGAACTGAAGGAGCTTTTGTGATTTGGCAGCGTTTGTGAAATTAACAACCACTCTGGCAAAGTGTGGGAGAACAGATTTCCCGCCGAAAGCCAGCCAGCAATAGATAGCCAGAGGCTTGCTATATTGTAAAATGCCGTGTAAGGGCGGCAAAGCAGGATATTGACCCTTGAATTCGTCCATACTGAGCGCTTGCTATTTAACACTGACAAAGAATTGAAAGATCTGTGTTGTGCACAACATGCTGCTATTCAAATGCTCTTTACTCCGAATAGTTAAACATTATTTTACAGACAACCCAGATATTTCACTCAAAGTAAAATAAAATGCCCCAGGTGAAAATAAATACAAACTAACCTTTTGCGGTGGTTCCACTTCCTCGTGCTGTTGTAAGATTTCTTCTGAGACTCTTCTCTAATGGGAAGGTGGGAGCAGTAGCACTCGAGTAGTCTGGAGCTGCAAACACGTTGTGACTACAATTGCTGCTCTCTCTTTATATACACATGTGGAGCAAGCTGGTTTATGTTGGTCATGTGATTGAGTTCCTTCAACATATAAGGAAAGTGAATCTTGGCACAAATCCAGCACAATGAAAACCGTCACAAATGATTCTACTGTGCACCGAGGCAGTTAATGAAAGTTTTTTTTTATTAAATTTAGGGAAACTGATTGTTAAAAAAGTGTTAAGAGGGAAAGTGTCCCAAGATGACATTTTACAAATCTGCTTTCGGAAATTCCAGTCCTTTCAGTTTTTGACCAAGGATAGCATGAAAACTCTTTTGTGCTTTGTTCAGAGACTGGACTTCCCCTGCCTTCATGCATTACGATGCAGTTTCATGGTGATGATTTGAAAGTGAATCGGAAACTCCAGCATATTACTTAAGAGAGAAAGATTTCGAGCTTCAGCATTTTCCTGACCATCTGACAAATACTTTCCAATCACACTTTGTTAGAGATTCAGTGAAACACTTTGAGCCATCTCGACAACACAACAACTTGGATTCATATCGTGCCCTTCACATGGGTAGCGTCTCGGAATTCATCAACAAGTTAATAAGATGAGGATATCAAATGAAAGGATTATAATTTAGTTTCTGATCAGTGAAAAAAGGGAGGAAATCAGATGAGGATAATAATAATCCTTACATTTGGTATCAAATCAGGAGGACGTCCCAAAGCGCTTCACAGAATATACTGTATAGTAGAGAGACTGTGTTTTGTGGGCAGATGTGGCAGCTAATTTGTGCACAATTAAGTGAATGATTGATTTTATCTGGGGATTGTTGACCAGTTCATCAGGAGAAACTCCCTTTGTTTTACGAATAGTTCCATGGGATCTTTAGGATCTCGGTTTAATGTCTCATCCGAAGGACGGCAACAATGCGACACACCCCCAGCACTGTATTGGAGCGTCACCTTAGACAATATGATTTTCAAGTCCTGTTGTGGGGCTTGAACCCATAATCTTTTGATTCAAAGGCTAGAGTGCCGAAGAAGACATTACAGAATAAGAGGTCACGAACTTACTAAACATAGGATTCGAGATCTATCATTCTTCGTCCACAAAGACAAAGCACAGGGCGGAGGCTTCCCCATATAGTTAAAGAAAGACCTTTTGGGGTGGGGTGAGAACCAATGATAAACATACTTGCGAAGCACGTGGAAACTAATCACCGTGCTTTGGGACGTCCTCCCGACGTGAAACGCGCTATATCAAATGCAAGGATTATTATTATTATTATTAACAGTATCCAGACTGAGAGTTCCACATATGTAGGCCACCTACACACCTACACACAGAAATGTCCTTGTGTCTGGAATGGATTGTGTGCTGTCTCCTCAGAGGGTTGCACTCTATATTTACTTAATTCGGGTAAGTATTGGGTGAGTCTCACGTTGGCAAGAGCCAAAGTTTGGGGGACCCCAGAGTGTGCATTGGGGTGTGGCTGGGATATAACAAGCTAAAACCCTGTAGTTTGCCATTGAGAGCACTGTGCATCAAAGCCTCCCACTAGTTCTCCAGGTTGGCCATTCTACTCAGCAAGACTGAGGCCTTCCTGATTGGCTCATGCCAGCGCCTCAGCTCCTCAGGCACTGGCAGCGTTAGCATCCATAGTTGCACACTTCACCTCATCAAGCCAGTAAGGAGCCTGGGCGTCTTGTTCGACCCTCAACTGTCTTTTCTGCCCCATATCCATGCGGTGACCTGCTCTGCCTTCCCGCACCTCCACAACTTTGCCCGACTCCGCCACTGTCTCACCCCTCAGGCTGCTGAAAACCTCATATACACATTCGTCACCTCAAGGCTCAACTATGGAAACTCCCTCCTTGTCGGCCTCCCCATCTCTTCCCTCCACAAGCTGCAGATCATCCAGAATTCTGCAGCTCATGTCCTCTCCCGCATCAGGCTTCGTGACCCCATCACCCCCACCCTCACCCGGCTCCACTGGCTCTCCATCCCTCAAAGGATAGAACTTAAAATCCTCATCCTCACTTTCAAGGCACTACATGGCCTTGCCCCCTCCTACATCACTGAGCTGCTGACCCCTATCAACCTGTCTCCTCCCTCCGCTCAACAGGCTCTGGCCTGCTCCAGGTCTCCCGCTCGACCCGCCTTACCATCGGCGCCAGATGGCACAATCCTTTTCATCCCACAATCCTTTCGTCTCGCTCCCTCTCTTGCCTCCTTCAAGGTACGACTCAAGACCCTCCTTTTTGACCGTGCCTTCAGCCGCCCTCCTACCACCTCTGCCCTCCCTCATCCTAACCCTTCCCCCCTACGTTCAAGTCCTGATCCCTGACTGTTCAGCACCTTGGGACGTCCTCCCGACGGGAAAGGCTCTTTACAAATGTGATTTTGTAGTTGTGGTGGTCATTATTGCATTGGCTTACAGGGGTAACAGAAGCCAAGGGGGAAAAAATCTCTATTCCTAGTAAAAAGTATACAATGTAATTGTAATCCATCCGAGAGGATACTATCGAGGGCCTTATTTGAACTCAATGTTTGTTTGCAGTTGCAGTTGCTACATATTCCTTTCCTTGATGAAGACATTCTGTAGACTTTTGAGAAATCAGTTGGTTACAAAGTTTATTTGCTTTAAGAAATAAGTGGATTGTGGTTGATGCCAAAAGTTTGTTTAAAAGCCACAAATCACTGCATTCTAACTAGCAGAGGAAACCACCCACACTGTCTAAACCACAGGGAATAATCGTAGTTTCATGAAGACAATACCTGCAGTAAGCTTAAGCTGTACATCAGGATCTCAGTGGTCTGGATTCAGTGAATAAAAGAGATTTGTGCAATAAAATGTTATAATAATAATAATAAAAATTCTTGTATTTGATTTAGGGCCTTATCACATTGTCGAGACATCTCAAAGCACTTCACAGAATATAATAAATTGGTCATTTTCAATCCACGACTGTTTGTGGGACACTGCTGTGCGCAATTGGCTGCTGCGTTTCGCCCACAAATATAAGGTCCATTCACTTTACAGCATATTCTGTGAAGCGCTTTGAGATGTCTAGAAGTCGTGAAAAGCGCTATATCAAATGCAAGGATTATTATTATTATATTGTAAAGTGAATTGACTGTATACTTTATGGGCAGAGCAGGGTAGCCAATTGCATACAGTAGTGTCCCACAAACAGTCATGGATTGAGTGATCAAATTATTATAATTTTTTTTAAAGGGTTATTATCCCCGGAAAGCAATCCACCAATCAACTAACAACCGGGTTCCTACTTACTGCCAAGTAAACAGAGGCATGTGGAGTAAGGAAACTTGCTTAAGGTTTCACCCTGCCCAGGAATCAAACCCAGGTCTCTCACTTGCGAGGCGAGTTTTCTAAACACTGCACTATTGGACTCCACGTGTTTCCAATAACCCTCTTAATAGAGAACCACCAAATGGGCTAAAACGAAGTCTGAAGCTTGACCAACATGGAATTTCTGGACAGCATTGAGCTCAGCTATCATGCCCCCTTGTGGTTGATCTCTGCTGTCACTCACTGTGGGGATACAGGCATGAATAGTGACCACTTGGGCAAGGTACAGAAAGGACGTAAAAATATAATAATAATAATCCTTGCATTTGGTATCGCACCTTTCACGTCAGGAGGATGTCACAAAGCACTTCATAAATATAACGCAATGCTATATAAATGCTGTTGTTATGTCTTTGAAGAATTAGGGGAGATCTTATTGAAACATATAAGATTCTTAAAGGGCTGGATAAAGTAGACACTGAGGGTCTGTTTCGCCTGGTAGGAGAATCTATAACCAGGGGTCACAGTCTTAAAATTAAGGGTCAGCCTTTTAGAACAGAGTTGAGGAAACATTTCTTCACTCAGAGAGTAGTGAATTTATGGAATTCACTATCCCAGAAGGCTGTAGATGCTCAGTACTTGAACATCTTCAAGGCTGAGACTGATAGATTTTTAAAAAACAGAGGGATTAGGGGATATGGGGATAAGGCAGGTAATTAGAGTTAGGTCTGAAGATCAGCCATGATCTTATCGAATGGCCGGACAGGCTCGAGGGGCCGAATGGCCTACTCCTGCTCCTAATTCTTATGTTCTTATGTTCTTTGTCATATTATAATGTCCTTCAGGTAAGACAATAAACTGAGTCAAAAAGAGAAGGGAGTTTCTCCCAGGATCCTGTTTAAAATAAACTTACAGAGAACTGGCATTAAATTTGGTTGCATTTAAGTATTTGCCAAATTATGGATGCTCTGAAATACTAAGAACTTAAAATAAGTCTAGACCCAAGTAGCATTTCTTTTGTGCTCCCAACGAGCAGTATTGTGTATGTGACTTGAATTAACAACACCCCCCCCCACCCCTTTCCCGTTCTGCTCGGCAATCCACATTGACCTATCGAGATGCTATCCAAAGCTTGCTGTTAATTTCTCTTCCCCTCATTTCTACCAAAGAGGCTTATGGAGCTCTGTATTGCTTCCACAGCTGAGATCAGCCAATTGGAAGGATGAGATCAGATTGGCCAAAGGACCTTCTTCATCCAAACCAATTTTCTCAACTGGGAAATAACTCTTTTTCTCTTATCAGTCGTCATTGATCTGTCAAATCCTAAGAAAATGAATCGGCACCACATTTATTCAGTTTCAATTTTTTATTACAAAAGGAAGATTCTGAACAACAAAAAAAACTTTTGTGTTTTAAAAGAAGTATTTAAAATAACATAGAACGGTTTTATTATAAAATACTTAAATAAGAAAAGAAACGAAACAGTTTCCAATCACAGTTCTTTTCAGACATAATGCAATTAAGGCGCTTCTTATAAATACTGCCCAGTTTGGAATGATCTACAGTGAATTGGTTCAAACCAGAACACACACAATCTGTTAAGATCTTACTGAATAAACCACATAGTCAACGTTTTAAGTCCTTACTATTAGATGCTAATGTGCCACCAATGCTGTGTTACATGGTCTTACAGTGTCTTGCGAATAGTTTTTAAATGTATATATCAAAAAAAATTCCAGACACTGTAAGAAGACATTCACTTGTTCAAGTTTTACAGCCTATTAATATTAAAACAACACTGCTGACTTATAGCAATGGGGAATTGTAAAACTATTTACCATCAACGAAAAGTGTCCTGCAATACGGTTGGCGGCAAATTAAATTAAATATCTATGTCAGTAGCTAGTTTTCTTTTAAATATTAAGTTACAATACAGAGAATCAAATACGAACAAATGGCTAAAAATTTCGATGATGCTCACGATGAAAAGAAAAAGACACTTATTGGAACTTCGGTAAATTTGGGGACTTTACAACACTGTTGTGAGCAGCAAAGCAAAGTTCAGCACACAAGGGGTTAATGGTCCATATGGTTGATCTCCGCAGGTGACTCGTTCAATGATGTGGGCCTCTTCACGTCAGTCCCTTTGACATATTTTCTTCTATTTTGGGGTGCGAGTTCTCCTTGGTCTTATGCATTCCTCCTTCCTCCCAATGTCATGATTGATCCTGGAAAACCGAACGGTGCATGTGGTTTTAGTGGGTGGCGTTGCCTCCAGTACAATATTGCCATTAACACTGAATCCAGCAGTTTAATACCCAACATTTAGTTACTGTGTTCTTTCAACTGCATCAGTGCAGCAAGTCAAGAAGCTGCAGGTGCAGGGTTGTCTAGGGCAAGGTTACAGCAAATAGTAGAATATATTTCCTACATGGAGGGTAATGGCAGCATTGGGATCACAGGGATTGTGGTGGAAGCCAGGATGCTGGATTAATTTAAGAATCAGCGTGATGCTGTCAAGGGAAAATGCTTAGATGAGATCTAATTAGGCCAATGGGCTTTCTTCATCTAAACGTCTTTTGTGACATTCCTTTGTACTGTTACTGTATTGCAGCAACTGCAAATTTTTTTAACAACGGCAGAAAACCTGCTTCAAATTAACCTGAAATTAAATTTACTGTAACCACTAAAGAGGTGGTTGAAATCTGAGTTTGAGGCAAAAACACAGTCCGTTCAGCAAATGAACGAAATTTGAAGGTGCTTTGGTAGAGCACCTCTGTCATTTAATTAGCTCTGCTTAATATTGCTATAAATCTGATTCCTTAAGAGCCATGGAAGACAAACATTAATACAAACATATAAGGAACATAGGACTAAATAACACCATCTACTCTGTCCCAAACTACAGATTAACCTTTACCGTTTCTCATTCCCCTTTATTTCTCATATATTGCATGAGTTTAATGGGTTTTTAAAATATTAATTATTTCTGTATTGGTACCTATTTTGCATTGTAACAGTCTAGATTGCAACCACTGAGAAGAATGGGCCAATCAATCTGTTTTATCCAAGTTGCTGTATTATCGGACCATTAACGTCCATATATTTTGTTTTCATAACTAGATCATTTGAAACTCACCTGTTCCAACACGTAATCAGCTCCATGCCTTGGTCTAATTCGGAATTCAGGCACGCTTCCATTACTCTACTTCCTTTGCTTATCGTTAATCTGGAAGGAGACAAGTGAGGTGGTGAGTTAATTGTGTTTTTTCCAGTGTTTTCACTTATAGCTGGACACCCTTGGAATATCCCACTGTATCCCACTGATGTCCAAGTTGTCAGTCATTTCAGACAAAGTCTCATTTTAGATTTGAAGCCATTAAATTAACCCCTTCCTTACTCAAATTTAACAGAAATATAGTTAATTCACTTCACAGTATATTCTGTGACGCGAAGATGTGATAGGGGCTATATCAAATGCAAGGATTATTGTTATTAATACAGGAGGGAAAGTTTGGAGGAGAAGGGGTAGGAAGAAAGGCCAGACCGATAATTCACGTTGCAACTACAACTCGCTTTGTTTCCCCTCGCTGTTAGACATTGGTATACAACACATGTGCAAATCATTAGCTCTGCATTCGGCCGCTGCCTGCAGTCTCTAAGACATTGGTCCCTGGAGTCTGCATTCTATGGTTGGAGGAATGACCTGTGAGAGTGCTAGCTGTTTCCAGCACTGTAATAGACATCCTCCCCGCTACAGTAGTGAAATTGAAAATCACCCTATCATAACAGTCCCAAATGAAAGATGGGTGGTGGTGGGTGAGGGGAGGGTAAGCAAAACAGCATCAATCAGACTTGGCACTTTAACACACATACTTACATGATTTGGGTTTTTGTGCAGTGCGATGATTTTGGTATGATCAAAAAGTCTTTCACAAATTTCTTCGGCACGCGCTCAATGAAATTCAGGCAGAGGCATCGCGGGACGGCGCTTGCTGAGGACCAAAAATGCATCCATGAGCTCATCAGTAATTGCACAGCATTTAATTTTTAATCCCTAAGAGAACTCACCGCCATTCGTTTTAGCTCTACTAAAGCTACATGATCGGGAATGTATTGCTCACCTTCAGGGAAGTGGGCACAGACCAGGATCAAAGCCAAGAGGGTCGCAATCTGGAGCTTGCAGTTCATTTTGTTGCCTGTTCTGTCGTTTCTCCTAAAATGCAAAAAAAATAATTTTGAAAATTTACTGTTCAGCAGCAACAACTTGCATTTATATAGTTTCGCCCACAAAATATACTTAATTCTCTCTACAATATATTCTGTGAAGTGCTTTGAGACGACTCGAAAATGTGATAAGGCGCTATATCAAATGCAAGGATTATTATTATAGTGCTGTTTAACATAAGGTAACATCTCGGAGTGTTACATAGGGACTATAAGACATTCACGTGCACCTCTATCTGTTTAAGGAGCAGTGGGTTCTTACAAACAGATTGCTTCTGTTAATGCCTTTGTGATTCAGCCTTAAGGAAGTAAGCAAGCGCGCTATTTGTAACTTGCTTAAGCATATGAGGAGACATCTGGTTTCAATTCCCTTACGCCCCACCACTTAGAGTAATCCATAGCACACAATTATGATTTCAAGGTTTTAGCTTTGTTAAAAAATAATTGTTAACCAACTCACTCTCAGTTATTTAGTGATGAGTCTTCTGCCAGGTCTTGTACCTCTGATCCCACTCTCTGACTTTTTTCTTTCAAACTGGTGAGGAGGTTCTGGAGGAAGTGCTTTAGAGCAGCTGAAACACTTTCACCAGTTGTTGTGGGTTTGGAACTGACAGGGTGCCGTTGTGAAGGTTATTTATACAAGCAGCTCAGGGCTCCAGATGTGCAGATTGGATCACGTGGTTTCCCGCAAACTCTCAACTGACGAAATGCTGGAAATTCTATCTGAACTCGAGCCAACAATCACATTCTGCAGGAACCTCAAACTTTAGCCCAAGAGTTTATTCTGACTTGGCATGTTTTTTTTTGCAGCATTTGTTGTAACCTATTCAATGAAATAATCTCCATCCCTGCCAAATGCATAAATATGTAATTTGAATCATTGGAAGTAAAAATGCATCAGTCTTGAAAATGCCTATCATCATTGATGAGAAAATTATGCAGCTTTTAGTATTGGGGCTAAAAATAATCTGTGAATTCAGCAACGTGACGAGTCGGAATGGCAAACACATGGACGATTGCAAGACACAGGAAAAGAACGTGATTTAATGGGGATGACCATTCAGATGATTTAAAATATATCTTCTGAGTGAGTCACACAAGGTAAAGCCCAAGCATGAAATGCATGGGAATCATTTCTCTGTGCGATTAAATACAAAGAGAACATTTTCCATAAGACCGTAAGACATAGGAGCCTGCTCCGCCATTTAATAAGATCATGGCTGATCTTCTAATTCCACTTATCCACCCTATCCCCATATCCCTTAGTCCCTCTATCCTTTAGAAATCTAACAACCTCTGTCTTGAATATGTTCAATGACTGAGCATCCACAGCCTTCTGGGGTAGAGAATTCCACAAACTCACTACCCTCTGAGTGAAGAAATGTTTCCTCAACTCAGTTCGAAAGGGCTGACCCTTGATCTTGAGACTAGGAGCCCTAATTTTAGATTCTCAAACCAGGGGAAACAGTCTCACGGTATCTACCCTGTCAAGACCCTTAAGAATTGTATAGGTTTCTATACTATCACTTCTAATTCTTCTATATTCTAGAGAATATAGGCCTAGTTTACTCAATCTATCCTCATAGATCAACCCCCTCATCCCAGGAACCAACCTAGTGAATCTACGCTACACTCCCTGTAAAGCGAGTATGTCCTTTCTTAAATAAGGAGACCAAAACTGCATACAATATTCTAGGTGCGATCTCACCAAGGCCTTATACAACTGCAGCAAGACTTCCCTACTCTTGTACTCTAACCCTTTTGCAACGAACGCCAACATGACATTAGCCTTCCTAGTTGCTTGCTGTACCTGCATACTAACTTTTTGTGACCGGTGTATAAGGACACCCAAATCCCTCTGAACACTAACACTACCTAGTCTTTCCCCTTCTAGAAAATAATCCGCTTTTCTATTTTTACTACCTAGGTGAATAACTTCACACTTCTCCACGTTATACTCCATCTGCCACCTTCTTGCCCACTCACTTAGCCTGTCTATTTCCCTTTGCCTTCTCCTTGTGTCATCCTCACAGCTTATTCTCCCACCTATCTTCGTATCGTCCGCGAATTTAGATATGTTAAGTTCTATTTCCTTATCTAAATCATTGATATAGACTGTAAATAATTGAGGCCCAAGCACTAATCCTCTTGGCACTCCACTAGTCACATCTTGCCAATCTGAGGATACGTTTATCCCTATCCCTAACGTGAAGACAGAAACAAAATATTTATTTAATGACTGCCATTTCTTTATTCTCCATTATAATTTCTCCTGTCTCTGCCTGCAGTGGACCCATATTCACTTTTGATAGTCTCTTCCTCTTTATGTACTTGTAAAAACTCTTACAATCTGTCTTTATGTTCCTAGCTAGTTTACCCTCATATTCCATTTTTTCCCTCTTAATCAGTTTCTTGGTTTTCTTTTGCTGTTGTCTAAAGCCCTCCCAATCCTCAAGTTTACTGTTCTATTTGGCAGTATTATAGGCCTTTTCTTTTAATTTTATACTTTCCCTAACTTCTCCAGTTAGCCAAGTTTGAATCACTTTTCCCGTGGTATTTTTAATTTTCACGGGAATATGTGATCACTGGGAATTATGCATTATATCTTTAAATGTTTGCCATTGCTGGTCTACCGTCATTTTTTAACCGAATTTCTCAGTCTATTTTAGCCAAATCTTCTTTCATACCTGCAAAGTTGGCTTTATTTAAATTTAAGACCTTTGCTCTGGATTCAACTATATCACTCAAGTTAATGTTAAATTCCATCATGTTATGGTAACTCTGCCCTACAACAACAACAAGATTCCATTTATAGAGCGCCTTTTACGTCGGGAGAACGTCCCAAGGCGCTGTACAGTTGGGTCAGGACCCGAGCAGAGGGGAAATGGTCAGGGTGAGGGGAGGGAAGGGAGGGAGCGAGGAGGGGGTAGAGTCGAGAGGGGAGCTGAAGGCATGGTCAAAGAGAAAGGTCTTGAGACCGGCCTTGAAGGAGGAAAGGGAGGAGGCGGCGAAGGCACTGGGGATAGAGTTCCAGAGCCTAGGGGCTGAGAGGCTGAAGGCCCGGCCACCGATGGTAGGGCAGTTGGGGCGGGGGATGTGGAGCAGACCAGAGCCAGAGGAACGGAGGGTACGGGCAGGTAGGTAGGGGGATAGTAGGTCAGAGAGGTAGGAGGGAGCAAGGCCGTGAATGGCCTTGTAGGTGAGGATGAGGATCTTGAATTCGATCCTCTGGGGGATGGGAAGCCAGTGGAGGTGAGCGAGGGTGGGAGTGATGTGGTCGCGAAGCCTGGTGCGGGACAGTACACGAGCTGCAGAGTTCTGAATGACCTGCAGCTTGTGGAGGGAGGTGCCGGGAAGGCCGGCGAGGAGAGAGTTCCCATAGTCCAGCCTTGAGGTGATAAAGAGCCTTAACTTCCAGATTGCTGACTAGCCCTATTTCATTATACAAAACAAGATCTAGGATAGTCTGTTCCCTGTACTTTAAAAGTTACACATTCAACGTAAAGCTCACTCAGTTGTTTTCTTGACCCTTTAATAATAATCCTTGCATTTGATATAGCGCTTTTCACGTCTTCTAGACGTCCCAAAGCGCTTCACAGAATATACTGTAAAGTGAATTGACTTTGAAGTACATCCCAATAACTGAGCCATTCTGACTGGTGTTTTCTTGTAAATGACTGTATTTTTTGGTTGATCAGCCGGGTGTCTGATACGCTCGGAAACCCATCACCGGGCTTAAGAGTATCAAAACCAAACTGAGAATTTCACATAGAAATGTTGCCTACACCTGGAAATTTCAATGTATCTTGAAATGGAATGCACACTCTCTCTCCAGAGAGACGGACCACGCTTATCTAATTCTGGACAGTATTAGGTGCAGCTTGTGGTGAGCAAGGCTTGGGGACCCAGAGTGTTCCTTGGTGGTATTGCTAGGGTTTAACCAGCTAAAACCACATTGCCTGGAAAAGAAGGTTAGGCATTGAATGAGGCAGAGCCATTTAGTTAATCAAACCTTCCCTTCCACCAACCAGATAAAGCCTGGATAATGCTCTATTTATTTTCGGGTTCACCAAGACAGTTGAATAAGAGGACACAGGTTTAGAGGTGCGAATTCAGTATTTGTTTACCCAGAGGGTAAACATCCCCAGCACTGCATTGGAGTGTCAGTCTAGACTATGTGAATTCCTGCGTGAGGCATGAATAATAATAATCCTTGCAATTGAAGTCACAACCTTCTGACTCAGAGGTGAGAGTGCTGCCACCTGAAGCTGAGACATAATGTCAAATTCATTCAAAGTGAGGAGATTTTAAGACTGAGTTTACATCTCTCCATTAGTGAGTTATGAGCACAGTTGGATTCAGAAGTGGGAAAGTGAACCGACGGTTCCCATATGATTACTTTACAATGGAGTCCTGTAGCTCAGTGGTTAGAACACTCACCTCACAAGCGGGAGACCTGGGTTCGATTCCCGGCAGGGCAAAATATTGGACAAGTTTCCTTACTCCACATGGCTCTGTTTACGTAGCACAAAGTAGGAACCCGGTTGTTAGTCGATTGGCGGATCGCTTTTCCTGGGGTAATAATTCCTGCAAAAATAATAATAATAAATTGGTCGCTCAATTCATGACTTTACAGTTCGCTGCTGCGTTTTGCCCACAAAATATATAGTCAATTCACTTTACAGTATATTCTGTGAAGCACTTTGAGACCTCTCGAAGACATGATAAGGTGTTATATCAAATGCAAGGATTATTATTATTATACACAGTAGAGAGTGGTCAGTATGCGAATAAGGCACCCGGGAAGTTGCTGGCGGCAGATTATGTCAGGAGAGAATTGATTAGTTATTTGGCAAATAAATGAATTGAGGGTTATGAGAGAGAGAGATTGCTTTATTTTGGATTGACTGGTGGGCTGCAATGGTCTTTTCTGGTTCTGTACTTCTCTATGTGACTATATTGCCTTTGGACTGAGAGAGACACACACACACTAGTGAAGGGAAAGGTGTGTTAGATGAGCTTGTACTTAAAATAATTGTTACCTTATTGCAAACACATGCTCCTCAGATCTTTACAGACTCTTGTTCCTAAATACACACTGTAGCTGGTTACCTAATATACAGCCGATTTATGGTCTGGTACTATCATGCCTTCATGGTTGAATATTGATAAATAAGGTCTCTATTATTCTAACCAGGATCATAGCCAAGATTTCCTCTACATTGCCTCCCATTTGCCCTTGAAGCTGTCATAATAATTCTTGCCTTTGATATAGCGCCTATAATATCACAACATCTCAAAGTACTTCACATTAATTATTGTTCAGTGTAGTGTTTGTGAACACAGCAACCAATTTGCACAGAGCAATGTGTCCTACAAATGGTCAGAAGATGATTAAGCAGTTTTATCTGTGAGATTGTTGGCCAGGACACCGGAAGAAACTCCTTTCTTTTTTCAAATCGTGCCGCGGGATCTTTAACATCCACCTGAACAGGGAGGCAGAGTCTTGATGTAACGATTCCAGTGACAGGTGGCAACCCTATTGATGGCGTGTCATCTTAAATTGTGAGGCAGCTGTAGGTTTCTGAAAAGCTTGGGAAAAACTTGCTTAAGCAAGGGGAATAGCGGAACACAATCCTGTACATAAGGGGGAATGAATTTTAATCCTTGTGCATTCAGAACTATGGTCTGGAGACCAGTCTCTGGTTGGAATGTAGCTGACTGTGTTACAATACCCCTATTCTTGTCAGGGCACATTGCTGTGAGTCATCCAACCAACAACATAAAACATAAATTATTTGGGGATGTGTAGATCACACTGGAGAGTAAACTGCAGCCAAAAATTATAATATTGTGCAAAGAATTGATACAGTAATTTGACTGTAGACAATTGCACCTTTATATAATATTTGTGGTTGATATTGAGGACAAGTGATAGTGGCTTCTCAATCTATGAATCATGACCACAAGAGTGGATCATCCTTATTTGTTTCCACCAGGGTTTCCCCATCAGTTTCTCCTATCCTGAAGGTGTTTGACTCGTCCAGCCAGCGGTTGGGATTCCACAGGTGTAGATCGGTCCCTAGGTCCCCTATTTGAGAGACGATTACTGTGTGTGTGTGTGTGTTTGAGCTCACACAGTGAGTGCTAGCAGATTCACCCCCACAAGAGGGCATCGCAACCCAGATCCCGCCGCACATGATCTCCCACAATCTCGCCAAATCTCACCCAATCTTGCCCAATTTCACCTGATTTCACTCGACCTGCCTTACCCAATCCCATAACACACAATCCCACTGAGCAGAAGTGTGAGAGGAGTTCTTGTTTTTTTTTAGCCGAGATCCACACTCAGCTGTCAGAGGTGTCCCTCAGCTTTGTTGCAACACCTGGTAATAGGAGGCAAATGTGCTTTTGATGCTCACTGTAGAGACTTCACTCTCTTGGACTTGACATAACTACAACAGCTTGCACTTATAAAGAAGCTTTCACATAGGATAACATCTCAGGTGCTTAAATGACCACAGTTGAAATAAAAAGATGATAATAATCCTTAAAAATCCTTGCATTTAATCCAGCTCCTCATCACATCTTTGAGACATCTTAAAGCGCTTCACAGAATATACAGTAAAGTGCATTGACTGTATATAAAAGCATCTTGGACAGATTAATTCGTTGTCGTGCTCACAAGGTGAAGGGTTTTAATTCCGGTAAACTGAATACCTTTCTACTTTTGACACCCACTCTCAGCTTTAAAGTTTCTTTCGATCTAACAAAGTGTCTTCAGAATCCGACCTTTAAGCTTCACACTTTCTGCACAGGGCAGAGGTCCTGTTCAGGTGGATGTTAAAGATCACATTGGCACTGCTCGAAAAGACAGGGAAGTTTCTCCTGGTGTCCTTGCTGAACACCCCCCACCCATAAAAAATTAGTCATGCACTCTATAACTGTGTGGTAAATTGCTGTGTGCAAATCGATTGCCATGTTTGCCTTTGTGGAGTCCTGTAGCTCAGTGGTTAGAGCACTCGCTTTGCAAGTGAGAGACCTGAGTTCAATTCCAGGCAGTGCGAAACCTTGGGCAAGTTTCCTTACTCCACACGCCTAATAATAATCCCTCCAAAACCAAAAACAATAATAAATTGGTCATTTTCCATCTACGACTGTTTGTGGGACATTGCTGTGCGCAATTGGCTGCCGCGTTCGGTCACAAATATACTGTCAATTCATTTTACAGTATATTCTGTGAAGCGCTTTAGGACGTCCTCCCAATGTGAAAAGCGCTATATCAAATGCAAGGATTATTATTATTATTATAACATACACAGTCACCACACTTTACAGCAAATCCTGTGAAACATTTTGAGCCGTCTTCTGATGTGAAAGGTGCTAACAGTGTATCAAACGCAAGGATTAATTTAATTTGGAAGTGATCAGAGATATGACGGGTATGCAATGCTGACAAGTTTCCAAGCAGTACAGCAAAATGCTTTGGTGACTCCAGTTGCTGAATATTGGGTCATAATTTCAGGAAATGCTTGAAGATGAGTTGAGGTTTCCTTCACATCCCTTGAGTCACATTGCTGGGAGATGACATTCTTCTTTGCATTGAGTCATAGACTCACATGGAGACCTTACCCAATTCAGACCAATAACTTTTTAATTCAACTTGAATTTGAGCTCCTTGAAATAGATTAGACATAGACCAAAGGAAATCAGCAACACGCAGAATGAAGTGTCATTGCAATTGACCTCATTTACCCAACTCATTCCAAAATGCTATCGAAATTCAAGTGAACTTTGGGCTGAACTGCTGCTTCGTCAGATGAATGGAGCATGGATCATAGGGCCACAGCTGTTCAGGCGGAAGATATCCTCTCCAGTTTGCCTTGCGAAAGTTCCCTCCGATTTCCCCTACCTCCCCCTTCTTTTTTTTCTAAAACATTATTTTCTGTTATGCTGATCATTGCAGGACTGTCCCTGAAGACGCGATAGAATTTTCAGGCTCGACGGAAGTGAGTAATTGTGCTTTGGGGAAATCTGACCTGCAGCCAGCACCTGCTGTTGAGACTTGATCCCAGTGTTCAAATCACTTCACTTTTAATCACTTTTAATTACTTTTATTGGAGGAAACATCTGACATCTCAGCCAGCTGATTTCAGACAGTTATTCTGAACCAATAAATGGAATTTCTCACTGATTTTCCAGACACTCGATGAGTTTATCCAGCACATGGCTGAGCTGTACAGATAGGGAAGATGCCTGGTTTGATCCCTGCTCTGCCCTCAGTGACCTGGCCTCAGTTTTTTGCAGCTGGAAAAGTGGTGAAATTAATAATAATAACCTTGCATTTGATGTAGCGCCTTATCACTTCTTTGAGACGTCTCAAAGCGCTTCACAGAATATATTGTAAAGTGGGGTGACTATATTTTGTGGGCGAAATGTGGCAGCCAATTGCACAAAGCAGTGTCCCCCAAACAGTCGTGGAATGAGTGACCAATTAATTTTTTTGGTGGGGGGAGAGGGATTATTGCCGCTGGAAAGTGATCCGTCATTTGACTAACAACCAGATTCCTACTTAATGCTAGGTAAACAGAGGCGTGTGGAGTAAGGAAACTAGCCTAAAGTTTTGTCCTGCCCGGGTATCGAACCCAGGTCCTCTCGCTTGCGAGGCGAGCTCTCTACCACTACACTACGAGACTCATTGGCTTCAGCGCCACTGGGAAATACAACCAGGGTTCCTGTTCTTGTTTCTATCCAATGACTTCTATTAGTGGGTGAAGACAGGGTTGGGCAGAGCAGCTACGCCTATCTCTCCCCCATCTTCTTTGACGTCAAATAGTTGGACACTCACTGTCAAGACACATGAATACAAGACACATGGAGGAGGGTAACCAAAGTCTGTTGAATTGTAATCCCCAATATAATTAATAGAAGTTAAATATTTTAAGGAAGGGGGCAAGGGGTTGGGGTGGGGGTAATAAATGGTTATTTATCTCAACATTCAAAGTGTTTTGTCACAGAAATCCAGGAAAGCAGTCTGCGAAGCTTTGGGGATTGATCCTTAACCCTACACCTCGCCTCCTCTTTATCTATCTTTAAAGCACATTAAGACCCACTTCTTCCACCCCGCCTATGGACACTTCTCCCTCCCCCTTCTCTCTTGTTCAGTGTCCAACCCCACTGTGTTTCAAGATGCTACTCTGCATGAAGGGCACTATACAAATGCAATTTGCTGTTGTTGTGACTGTAAGCCACCAGGTGATACTACACCTCACATCATTCATTACCTCTGGTGGCTTGATATTGCATTGTGCAGAGTTACTGACTCTTCCCTCCTTGGCTTCTTGTGCTTATTGAAAATGTAATATAGAAGGTGACTATTTTATTCTGAACTCCAACCATAAACCCATACCAATTGTGCCCCCGAAATCCCTTTTTATACTCACTGGTCTTTTTGCATTGGTTCCCAGTTAATTGTCTTATTTCCTCTTTAAGGGTTATCTAACAGAAACTACTTGCTTCCCGTCAACGTGCAACACATATTCACATACATTAAGACAATTCATGGTGCGCAACATAAAATTGACAACAAAAAAAGCACACAGTATATTGTTTCCTTTATTGCAAGTGGATGAATCTTGGAAGATTTGTCAAGCAAATCCACAATAAAGCTGTGTTTAACAGAAACTTACACCGTGCATTTACATAAAAAATACAGTCAATTCACTTTACAGTATATTCTGTGAAGCGCTTTGAGACGTCTCAAAGATGTAATAAGGCGCTATATCAAATGCAGGAATTATTATTATGATGGTAGTTGCCCAATTAATCCTTTGCTACCGAAGTGGGTTTACATTTTGGACAATGTGAAATTATAAAATATTAAACATGTCATTACAGAGTGATAGCAAACAATTCCTGGGCAACTGCTGTTTGCCTGGTCAAACTGATCTGCTTGATTTTACCAGGCCGAGACTACAATACACATTCATTGAGGGGAGTCTCGACTACATAATAAGCAGTGAGTCAGTGTCGTTAAATGCTGAGTAATATTTTGGTTGCCTGGAATTAATAAGTCGGTCTGACACACTGGACTTGTGCTCGACAAAGCTGTGGGTTTGATTTGCCAATACATAGCCATTGGTGCCACCTTTACTTCTAGTTGGCTTTAAAATAATCTATATTAACATGTAAGAACTGCACAGAAGTCCAAAGGTACACAAAGTAATTGTCAAGGCATTGATCCAACCTAGTAAATTTAAAGTAATGAATTTCACCTCATGAGCATTCTTACAGCCATCTTTAATCTGGACATTAGGTTCCAATTTGTGCTGTTTCAGACTAAAACACCTTATATTCGAAGTGATCTTATTCATCTTTGTGTCTGAAGTTAAATCAGATGCAGACACTTACCACAGTATATTAATGCGACTGATTAATACATTGATTTGTATTAGTGTTATTGATAAGTGATCATATTTACATGCTACAGGATTAAGAAGTGCAATTCATAGTGGTGAGACTTGGATTGAGAAATAATTTGCAATTGATGTGTAATTTAATCCCCCAAAATCTAGTTCTATGAGTCTGCAGCTGATTGGTTTTCTGCATACATTAAACCCAACTGTGGAACGTTGCATGGATGGAATGCATCACACGTCTTTCCATGCGAAGATCATAAGATGGTGTATAAACCTTTTCTTGAAATCATGTTAAGACATATCTGCCATTGGTTTGGATTCTCTTTCATCCTGAAACAACCCACATGACAAAACGTAATGAATCTCAATTTTCACATAACATGTGTCTTAAAAAAAGTCATCTAACCATGAGAGAGAATTTGAGAAGTATTTGAAGAGAAACAATGTAAAAGGGTTTGAAAAAGGAAGTACTCTTAATCTGCCATCATCCAATATCCATACACACACACTTACCAACAGAACTAATACTAATACTGTACTTACATTTGATATAGTACCTTTCATGTCAGGAGAATGTCTCAAAGGATTTCCTGTAATGTGCAGTGACTGCATTTTGTAGGAAAATCAGCAGCCAATTTGCACACAGCAGTGTCCCAAATAAAAAGCCGTGATGTAAATTATCAATTTTATCTGGTGGATTTTTCAGGAACACTTGGCCTGTTTGAGATGAGCAGCTTGAGGGCTGACCGGCATTCAAACCTACTCTGTGCTTTGTCGGCTGAGCTATCCATTATTTTAACACTCGTGTTGCTGCCAAATACCATCTAGGGCAGCTTCCCTCACCCAAAGTCCATAATTTCCCTCTGCGTAAATGATCTGGTTCCAATTAATATTAATTAATTAATAGTATATAAATATCGACCTTCTAGTGCAGCCTCTGTAATGGGTAATGTTCAAATCAGGGTGTGTGCATTACGTGGACACAAGGTAGCTTGTGCTTTTCACAGATTTGATCTTCAATGAGCTATCAAAAATTTCACAGATCACCTCTACAATATTAAACTGCATCAAAAATAGGCATTGGACTCGATATTAACATTCATGGTCTGCGCTGATTACTGAGGTGGGTTTGAGTTGAGAGGAGAGAATTCTAGCCTTCCTTGGAATGCACAGATCATTTTTCTTTATAGCTGACATTTCACAACTCAATCTGACTGCTTACACATTTCCCACCCATAAGCAGAAATATTTTCTTAATTTATTAATTGATCACATTGTGGAATCCTGTAGCTCAGTGGTTAGAGCACTCGCCTTGCAAGTGAGAGACCTGGGTTCAATTCCCGGCAGGTCGAAACCTTGGGTAAGTTTCCTTCACATGCCTGATAATAATCCCTCAAGAAAAAAATAATAATAATTTGGTCACTCAATCCATGACTGTTTGTTGGACACTACTGTGCGCGATTGGCTCCCATGTTTCACCCACAAATATACAGTCAATTCACTTTACAGTATATTCTGTGAAGCGCTTTGAGACATCTAGAAGACATGAAAAGTGTTATATCAAATGCAAGAATTACTATTATTATTATAATTACTGAATGAGCATAATTATCAGCAGATTTACTGCTGAAGTTTACAGACATCCCTGATCATCAGTAACAAAGTTCAGAAATGAAAGGAATAGTAATCTTTAACTTTGCTGATGATCTTTCCTCCTAGTGTACACAGTGTTATATTGTATAAATCGGCAGTTGAAAGCCTTTGAATAGCACAATAAATTCAGTGCAAAATCTTTTGATAAAGATAAAGAAGTGTCAGTAAGATAAAGTAATAGAAATTATGAAGCCTCTACATTACTAATTTTGGAGTCCGTCCGACTCACTCTGTGGCCTAATTCAAGCCCTCTTTGATCGTGCTTTCGATCATCTTAAGTGATACAAAAAAGTTTGGCGCACAAGTTGGGCAAACTTGTTTTGAACTGACCTGTCTAGGCATCGCTGTAGCCATTTTCCATCTTGCTTTTTGTAATGAAGGCAAACTTCTTTGTTCCCCTTCATCATGACTCTGTTAAACCAAACACAATCAGCTTACTTACATTCATATTCATGTTGAACTTGGCTGCAGTTGTGGTTATTGGATCATTGAATCACTTAAGGAAACCAGAAAGGTTCCCCAACGCCCTATCTAATCACGGTTATATGCAGGTAATTGTACCAGGGTCTGCCAAGGCCCCACCCAAAATTTCTTATTGTCTTAGCCTTAAAGCCAGTGTTGTAAAATTTAAAATTATTCAGAATTTTGGAAAATCCTCCAATTTAGGCTTATTTTTGAAACTGGTTGTTCACAGTTTTTTTCAAACAACTGTACTCCCGGGTGAAAGGAAAAGGAATCAGGAGACCTGGAGGAGAGGTCGGGAAGGGAAGAGAATTAGTGAAGATGAGTGGCAGAGCGGGGAAAGGGAGTGGGGCTGTGAACTAATCACCAAATGTTTGTCTGTCTTCCCGGTACTCAGGGACTCTGGCCTGAGAACTTGGCGTCGTGTGAGGCTCAACTGTTGGCTTTTCAAACAATCATCTCAAAGGAATGTTGGCTCCTACGGCATATCTGTGGTCATCGAATGGTCATTGCTGAGTAATGGAAACCATAGAAATGTGCAAAAAATGAAAGTTTTTTTTGGTATGATTTATCTGTGGTTTTGCTGCAGATGTCGTTGAATGTAAGGACACAGCTCCAGCATCATAGCCCTTTGCATTGAGAATGCCATTTATCTTCTCTCATCCAAATATTGGGCATTTGCGTGCTGGGTGGGGTGGTGGGGTGGAGTTAATTGGATCTACTGCCATCTTCTAAGAATCATTATGGTCAAGCAATGGTCAGATATAGTACTTACCGAATTGCAAGCATCTTACAATTGACTGTTCGGTAGATTATGGAGAACTTTGTGACCTGGCTGATATCCACAGAATTCACCAAATTGGAACAATGACATTTGTCAGAAGGTTCGACTGCAAAAGGTTGTAATGTTCACAAAGTTAGTTAAATCAGCAGGTCACTTGATCACAAGGTCACAAGGTTAGTTTGGATGAAGAAGGCACTTTAGCCCATCTGATCTCATCGCTTTAGAACACACTACCCATCAATCCCCACCCCTTTCCATCACCCCTAATCACAGCATCAAGCTGCTTTTTCAATCAGTCCAGTGCAATGGCCTCTAACACCTTTCCTGGCGAGCTGTTCCACTGGTTGAGTACTTTCTCGTAAAGAAACGCTTCTGTCCTGAAATTGCTCCGTACAACTCTAAAGCATAACTTTACAACTCCTGTTGTTCTACCAGGTCATTGAAACGTAACAGACACTGGGACAATCTATTAGTACTCACCTTAAAGTATCTCATCGTGTGAAGCACTTTGAGATATTTGAAACCGATAATATGCTAATATGTTCAAAAGGCAACATTGTTAGTTTTCATACACAGTCTGAGAAATCTGTTACTCACCGAAAGAGAAATACGCGCTCGAAAGAACGATCAGAAGGATTGCAATGCGAAAGTTGAAATCCATTTCCAGCTCACGTTTGATTTCTGCGGTACCTAAGAAAAATATAAATCTTGAACTTTGCATTTTTATGACACAAGAATTTAAGGCTAAGACGATTGTAAACCTATGTTGATTGCTGCATGAAAGTCTTGTAGCTCAGTGGTTAGAGCACTCGCCTCGCAAGCGAGAGACCTGGGTTCGATTCCCGGCAGGGCGAACCGTTGGGCAAGTTTCCTTACTCCACACGCCTCTTGTTTACCTAGTAGTAAGTAGATACCCGGTTGTTAGTCGATTGGCAGATCACTTTTCCGGGGTGATGATTCCTTCAAAAAAAGCATATTAATAAATTGGTCACTCAATCCATGACTGTTTGTGGGACACTGCTGTGCGCAATTGGCCGCCGAGTTTTTCCCACAAAATATACAGTCAATTCACTTGACAGTACATTGTGTGAAGTGCTTTGAGATGTCTCAAAGACGTGATAAGGCCCTTTATTAAATGCAAGGATTATTATTATTATGAGTGGGTTTTGAAGTTTTCAGTTAGTAACTAAGTCACAGAAACTCATCGGACAGGAAGGTCAAAATGAAACCTGCCAAACACCACACAGACCAGCAGACAAGGGATATCCAGAGACCACCAACCATTGTTAGCATTGCACAGTGGCCTAGAGCCCACAAACCCACTGTCTGTGACACAGGGCAGTCAGTACTAGTCGCAACACAGCATTCAAATAACAAAACATTTCTTGCCTAACACATAAGTGGTATTGAAAAGATAAGTAAATTCACATTTTCTATTCAACAAGTATTGCAGTTCAATTTATAATGAACAAACCTGCGTAATTCTTTCAGGTATTCTGATAAAGCAACGCAAGTGCTTTACGTTGGTATCACCTCTACCGAATTCAGCACACTGACAGCCACTCACTCCTGTCGTTTGAAGCTTCTAATTTACTGCCATTATATATTGGCAGAGTTTGGTAATTTACAGGTTAACAGTGAGTAATTTATTGGAATATGTTGCACCTTTGTGACCTTTTAACCACGCTTTGTATGATAGCCAATTGCAGAGCAAGAGAAGATCATTGATTTGAACCTAAATTTTTTTGGCACAAATAATAACTGCTGTAAGTTATTAATACAAGTGAAAGGGTCTGACAGTAGGTTTTAAATATTGGCAAGATGCAAGAATTCTAGAGATTACCTGGGGTCAGAATCCAAACTTTAAAAGATAACAGAATCAGTATGCTAAACGGCTTTGATGGAAATTGTACGGTGTTGACAAGGAAAGCAGGGTATGAATCAGTTAACCATACAGAAGAGATTAACATAAAGGGCATGAGAGCGGAGACCAGACATGTTGATCAACACAGAGCAAACACTTCTGGAGTCATTTTTCACTTCCAAGCAGTGACAGACATACAAGTTTGTTTGTACTAAATATTGCAGTTGGCGGTCAACACAAAGACAACACTCATGTACTCAGTGTATGGCAGGAGCATCTAACCTATGAAACTAGAACTTGTACTTTTTATAGCACCTTATCACATTACAATATCTCATATAGCAATTCCTGCTAAGTGAAATGGTGAGATTGTGGGGAGTGGAGCATCAGTCAGAATGGGTTCAATTTAGGGACTCTATAAACCTCTGTTTAGGAGGAAGTGGTGTTGATAGCTACTTTTCACAGGTGGTCCAGCATTTGCATTTGCCTACAAAATACAGTCACTACACTTTACAGTAAATCCTGTGAAGTGCTTTGAGATGTCCTCCTGATGTGAAAATCTCTGTTTATTGCTGTTATTTTAAGATTACATTCATGTAACTATCCCTTCGCTTTAAAGTGACTTATGGTATTTTAATAATAATAATAATCCTCGCATTTGATATAGTGCCTTATCATGTCTTCGAGATGTCTCAAAGCGCTTCACAGAATATACTGTAAAGTGAATTAATTGTATATTTTGTAGCTGAAACACGGCAGCCAATTGCGCACAGCAGTGTTCCACAAACAGTCATGAATTGAGTGTCCAAATTATTATTATTTTATTATTATTTTTTTGAAGGGATTATTACCCCTGGAAAAGAGATCAGCCAATCGACGAACAACCAGGTTCCTACTTACTGCTCGGTAAACAGAGGCATGTGGAGTAAGGAAATTTGCCCAACGTTTCGCCCTGCGGGAATTGTACCCACGTCCTCTTGCTTGTGAAGCGAGTGCTCTATAAAGCACATTTAAGCCCTATTTTAAAGAAATTCCATACCAATGGTTTTAGTATTTTGTTGCTAGCTTGTACAGTCCATTTCAAACTCTAAACCACTGTTACCATTTTTCCTTGTACTTTGGAAATGAAGTTGAAACAAAATAATCTCATTCCAGCAACTCAGCAATGGAAAGAACATAGAAAAGAACATGATCTGAGTTCAATTTACAATAATAATAATAATCCTTGAATTTGATATAGCGCTTTTCACGTCTTCTAGACATCTGAAAGCGCTTCGCAAAATGTACTGTAAAGTGAATTGACTGTATATTTGTGGGCGAAACGTGGGAACCAATTGCACACAGCAGTGAGTGTCCCACAAACAGTCATGGATTGAAAATGAACAATTTATTATTGTGTTTTTTGGAGGGATTATTATTAGGCGTGTGGAGTAAGGAAATTTGCCCAAGGTTTCGTCCTGCCTGGAATTGAAATTTACAATGAAAATTTACTGGAATTTACAATTACATTTTTGAGATTAGTGATTAGATAAATCAATAGGGTCATTGTCTGCCACTATTGATAATCTATTGAGATTTAGACTAATTAATAGATTAGTCAGTACAGTAAAGTAGTCAGTAGACTAATCTATGTTGTAATGTGGAAAATGAACCAAGTGAACCAACCATAAACTCAGTTCAAATGTTGTACTATTGTAGTAAACATTATTAAGATTAGCCATTGTAATCTATAACGTCCAATTCTCATGCTTTCAATTTTATGTCTATATGATCTGCACGGTCTCTTTTGTAATGTTTTACAATTTCTCAATGTCGGCACTGGATTATTGAAAAATTTTGGACTTGCTCCTTCTGTGGGTGTTGATTCTGGTTTGTGTGGTCACTTCTGATCAGCTGTCCATACTCTATCCAGTTCCTGTCAGACGTCTGGATGAATCTTACATTGCTGACTACACTACACGAGTGCAGGTTGAAGTTCTCTTACTCTCCATTGACCTTTTACTTGGCTTTGTTATGAACAGCTGTAGCTGTATTCATTCCAGATGGTGCAACAGATTAAATGCAGTACTTAACGTTAAGTGCTTTCAGATATTGGCCTAGGCAATCCGATTAATTTTGAAAAGGAGTTCATTAAAACACACTCTTCGGCACCCTTCTACAGGTTGTAGGCAGCCAGGTGGAGAGAGAGTCGGGCTCTGTTCTGCAGAGTGACCCGTCGATGCTCGCTGCCAAGGCTCACACATGGACAATGTCCATGTGAGTGGGGGAGGGAAACGAATGGGACTGAAGGGCAATCAGTACCTGTGGAACTGCACTCCAGCAAGGAGAGTCCACAGACCAGGAGCAGAGAAGTGTACATCAGCAGGGAGGGTTTTTAAAAAATATAATTGGACGTTATTTGTAAAAAGATGGAATATATTGGCATGCAGTGAAAATGGGTGCATTTATGATTTCTCTCCCTGTGTCCTGGCCAACAATTCTCACGTAAAATTGATCATTCACTTATGGCTGTTTGTAGGACATTGCTGTGTGCAAATTGGCTGCTGTGTTTGCCACAAAAGACACAGTGACTACACTTCACAGTAAAATTCCTGTGAAGCATTATATCAAATGCAAAAATTATCTTATTAAATGTATACTTCCGAATTGAAATGAGTTGACTGCTCATCACATTGTTGTTTGTGAAACTTTGCTATCACAGAAATTGCACGTTTATTTGAACTAACCTCCTGAATCACTAACTTATATTTGATTTTATATATTTCATCTTCTTGGAATTGTTCCTTGGTTGGCATTATTGGTTTCCATTGGTAAACCTTAATGAATGCCTATGTATTTTGCTAGCCAATGTATCATGTCATATTAGAAGATTAAAAACAACTTAACAGAATGTTCAAGAATCTTATTGAGCTTCTCACCAAATAGGCACCTTATTCTTTGCAAGATATGGTTTTATCCTATTGAGTTAATGAATAACCTCCTTGGTTTGTGCAAAGGAAATTCATTTTAGACAATGAACTTGTTTCATTTTATGCAGCGCTGTAATTAAAGACTGGCCTTGCAGTATCTCCAGTATAGATGTTTACAGGTTCAATCAACCCTGCTGGTTCCAAATAGTCACCTGTGTTGGGAAAGTGTAACAGGTATGGGGATTCTATCATCTCAGCTCCTATTAATCCTGCAAGCCAAAGCCCGAATAGGTAGGGTGATGTTAACTGGATAAGCAGCAGGAAGTTTGCAGAGAGTTCCCATATGGCAAGCTATGTGGTTTCAGCTGGTTAAGCTCCAACAATTACCCCCAACACACGCTCTGGGATCCATAAGCTCTCTGCAACCTGCACCTAATACTTTCCAGAATTAAATCCAGGGAGAGAGTGTGCATTCCATTCCAGACACAAAAAAATTGCCATGCATGGGTGGCCTTGCTAATGTAGAAATCTATCTGGTTTGGATACTTTTTCAGAAATTGTGTAAAGTCTCCTGACTGAACAAACAAAAAACGTTACTTATTGATAAAAAGGAAGTGAATTTCTGTTTTGATTACAACAGCAACAAAATTATATTTGTAAAGATTATGTCAATGAAACAAGTCTGAACTTGCTTCCGACATGAAAGGTTTCATTCCCCTTTTGAGGGCCTGTATCTGATACAACTCTTTTAATTTCCAGCCTTTCACTGAATTTCAATTACAATTGACCAGTCACTAGGGACAAGGACTCTTCCCACTCAGCTCCTGTTAACTCTGCAAGCCAAAGCCCTAAAGGGGAGGGTGGTCCTAGCTGGACGAGCAGCTGGAAAGCTTGCCATACAGTGCTATCAATGGCAAGCTATGGTTTTAGCTAGTCAGACTCCAGCAGTTACCCCAGTGCACACTCTAGGGTCCTTTCCTTAACTCTGGCCGACCTGTGCCTAATACTTTCTGGAATTAGGTAAGCAGGATGTGTCCCTCCAGTGAAAGAATGATCATTCTATTCCAACGATCTATCTTAATTTCCATGTGTAGGTGGGATGTGTGGAATTCTCAGTTTGGTTTGGATACTTTTAAGCAAAGTGCTGGGTTTCTGCATGTCTCAGACACCCCCCCAAATAGAATGAACTACAATTAAATATGTTGTTAGCTGATTCTTGCTTCACATTGCTTTTGGGTCATTCATGGGAAGGAGTGTTCAAAAAAGGAATATATTCACAAATTAACGTCTTTGTTTCAGGGGAACCTACTTCTATGAGTGAGTCTGACACTTCGAAAAGTGATGGAAGGAAATCAACAAACTGCCTTTGTTAAAATTAGTGAAGACAAATGCATTTCCAAGTAAGTACGAACATGCATTTCTCTGTGTTAAGTGAAGGTCGCTTCCCTTCAAGGATCACTCTCAATCTTGCTTGGTTCAGAGGGCTGGATTGTTTGAGTCATGAAACTCTATGACCAATGGCAGGTCAATAAATGACTCCAGACATGAGTCAAATATCAGCCTGGCTCAGTTAGTAGCACTCATGGCTCTGAGTCAAAAGCTTGTTGATTCAAAGCTCAGTTGTGTCTTTGAATATACATTCTAGGTTGACACCCCAGTGCAGTGGTGAATAATGCTGCATTGTCGGAGGAGCAGTCCTTCAGATGATATGTTAAACCGAGGTCCTGTCTGGTGCCTTTTCAAGTCGATGTTAAAGATCCCATGGCACGATTCGAAAAGAGAAGGTAGTTTCTCCCGATTTAGTGACTGACAATCCCCCAAACAAAAGTTGGTCACTCACTTC